AGCTTTTAGTTTATGGTTTGAAGCGCAGATAAGAGAATATTACATAGCCTGTAGTGACACTAATGGCTTCTGATTTTCACTAGTTCCTGTATGTTTTTTTTGTGTATGATAATGTAATGTTGCACCCACCTGCGCTAACTATTGACACATTCGCTGGCAGGGCACCAGTGAAGGATGATAGAATGATCATGAGGTCAGGTCAGTTAGCCCATCTTAACATATTCACCAGGAATTCATCACGATGGTTTCCAGGGGTAACCGCGTGGAGGTCAACCTGACATGGTACATTGCTAGTAATGAGGTCATGAATCCACATTACTACCAATCACCTTCCCCCTAAAGGGGATTATTATTTAGTACCATGTTAGGTCGACCTCCACGCGGTTCCCGGGAAACCATCGTGATAAATTCTCGGTGAATGTGTCACGATGGGCTAACTGACCTAATCTCATGCTCATCTTATCATACTCCACTGGTGCCCCGCCAGCATGAACCGTAAGCGTAGGCGGCTGCACCATTCCAGTATCATACATAAAAAACACCAGGTTTTCTTTTTTTTATATACTCTTCTTTTTTTGTAATATATATGTTATAAAATGTTGTCTATGTTTTAAAATGTCTGTGTGTGTAGTATATATAAGAATAGTATATATATTCCGTAACTTCATTTTCATTTTCGTCATTATTAAATTCCTAGGTGACTTCGATTAATTCATGAATTAAAATAAATAAAATATTCATCAACAACAGACTTTTCGATCAACCATCTTCTTAATTTTTTTTACACTTTCCGATCAGCCATCCTTATAACTGTTTTTTAACATATTTATCTGTAGTGTTTCCATTTCATCATACAACTTATTGTAATTTTTTATCTTAATTGTACACCTATCTATGTTACTTGGGTATTTCAGTTTGTGAAATATCAACGAATAATGCAGTTTAAGGTTACAAGAAATTAACACTGAACTGCTAAATAAGACATATAGCTACCTACATATATAGCAATGAAAATTAACACACGAAAATATTCAAACTAAATTTTAAATTGTTTTAATTATTTCAACATGATAGTAGTTTAAATGACCACATATAATGAGATCTTTTGAAGGTTAAAAGATGCCATAAAATGTATAAAAGAATATATTAATATAAATTTTAATGTACAGTCATTGACCATAAGCGTGGGACACCTAGTTTGTTATAAAACTAAGGATTTTTTGTCATTTAATAATGGATGGTTAAAAAATTATGATTTCTAAGTACTATTATTATAAACTGTTGGTGTCCGCAAATTCATACGCGTGATATTCGTAATAACAATGAAATATATTTTTTTTAATCGAAGGATTTAAAACAAACACAAAATCTTATGGAAAGCTTTCGACAATAATAAAAATAACCCTCCTGGTCATAGCTACATAATGGATATAGGATATAGGACATTATAGACATCGGACATTTTCGATACTAGATAATTTACAAAAGAAATGTTTTTAAAAACATTTTTTTTCTAAATTCATAGAAAACAACCAGATTGGTCTGGAACAATCGTACTCATGAATGCAAGTGTGCACCACGCATTTAAGCGATGTGCTAAAGCGGCAGATCATCGAGGTCATCAATACAATACATCATGAACCCACATTGAAATCAATCAATCAGTTTCTGAGATTAGCCTGCCTAAAAGCATAGATAAACGCGATTTTTTAATTCAATAACATAAGTAAGTCTTAGGTCAAAAGCAGTTTCTTAGTCCTACTCAGAAACAGCTACTGGTTGATGACTTTTTTTTAATTTAAAGTAATTACGTATAGACACAGCATGTATGATTTTATTATATGTACCTAAGTATATAACGAATACCTAATAATAACTTTACAACTTGAAAGAGGTCCGTAGGATAACATTTCTAGAATTCTTTTTAAAATAAAATATGTTTAGTAAAATATGTTGTAAAAAACTAAATTCCCTTATTTTTTGCCTATTTATGCATTTGTCCCTTATGGGCTGAAAAAAAATCTGGCAACTTTAATTACAATCCAGTTTGAAAGAAAGAAAGAAAAAAATATTTATTCAGTTTTGTACCAAACTACACACTAGTCAAATTCTTGTACTGATTGTAATCTATTTTGTGTGCTAATAAATAAATAAATAAACGGCAGAGTAGGAAAGGTAAGAAATACCAAAAGTGCAAGCCACTTTTTTATGTAATTGGAATGACTACTGTTGAGGGCGCCACTATATCTAGTATGTATTAATGAAATAGTACTTTTAGTATAAAATAATGTAGCAAATAGGTTATATATTTCACAATGATTGTCTGTAGAATGCAAATGTTGTTTACGTAATTTAGTTCCGAAATGAATACTAGATGGCGCTGTTAGAATTCTAAAACTCGATCTATTTCGTTTTTATCGATTGATATACACGATTGTAAAATTTTATTATTCAGTATTTTGTAACGCCATTTTTTGATATCATTATACTCTTTCCCTCGTATGTTGTTTCATTTCGAGGTTTTTGGGCTGTCTGAATATCGCAGCGCGGGGACGTCTTCAACTACAAATTAATAGCCCACTTGATGAGAAATGCTAACGGCTTATATACATGAACAGCACTAGGGCTATTAAATGATGCCTGTGATTCCGCTAATGCGTTGCCATTTCCAAACGGTAAGATGTCATGCCTTTTATCCTGTAATTTTACACTACAACCGATACAGTAGGTATATAAAATCAGCTGTCTGAAATTATTAAGATTTAGGTACCCCTACGCCGACGATCTTTAGGTACAGTTTACCTCAGTCGTATATACGTCGACGATCCCTTACGAGATGAAGTACCAAAGATACTACCTCATAGATTTCTTACCAATATAATTTGTTGAAATACGGAGGCATGTTCAGTGAACAAATAGTCGTTTTATTTTCAGGTCCATTGATTCGACAGATAGAGTCAAGTCGTCTGGTGAGGCTTTTGTACTTTGGGACAGTAAAAAAATAGAGCTGTCAATTATATAAAAAATATCAAGGAGACTAAAAATACTAATCTCACCTACCTCTGAATAGGACATCTTTTAAAACTACAGCTCCTAGCAGATGCTTAAGTAACCATTAGACGTCTCTGAGTGCAACTGTTTGTAGTTATTTTTATGTAGGTACTAGCTGTACACGCGACTTCGTCCGCGTGGACTGACAACAGAAACTTATTTTTCTAAAATAAATGTAGCCTAACTTACTCCTTATTGCATCAGCTACTTGCCAATAAAAGTCCCGTCAAAATAGGTTCAGAGATTAGCCGGAACAAACAGACAGACAAAAATTGTAAAAAATGTTATTTTGGTGTATGTTCCGTATTTACATTCATATGCATGTAGTAAAAAACGGTTATTTCAATATTACAATCAGATACTCCATTTATATGTATAGATGTATGTTCATTTATACATACATCTATACATATAAATAAAATTGGAAATTTTATTAAGAAACGAGACGGTATAATGGAAAGAAACGGTTTAAATTTTGGTATTAGGTACTCAGAATTAGTAATCAGGGGTTTTAAAGTTTACTGTGGAAAATAAAATAAATATCGTGACATGTCTATAATTACGAATAGCGTAAATATAAGCAAGTTTTGCCGCGCAAAGTAGACAGTTATATTATACGACTTATCTTTAGGTCTATGGTAGAAATACGATGTACGTAACAAATAGCTTATTTTAAATTTTTATTTGTGACGATAGCTACGAATTGCAAGTAGGTAAACAAGTTTTGGCGCGCAAAGTAGATTTAAGTACATTATTCTGTTTGTCTTTGGGTCGAAATTATTATGGACATAACAAATAGCCCTCTCTTCAAATTTTTATTCGTGACGTGTCTATACCTACGAATTGCAGGTACAGAAACAAGTTTTAGCGAGCATAGTAGATTTAATTACGTTATACTGTTTGTCTATGGCTCGAAATTATGATGAACGTAACTAAAGCCCTTTTTAACCATAGAACGTGCACAACTTCAGCTTTTAAGTCTCAATGGTACACTTTAATGTCACGACCTTCCACACTTCTACTTTCATTGACAAACGTAATACGTACTCTAATACTTTCGCTAGTGAGTTTAAATTTGTTACAGCCTCCTACGTACGATATGACATAAATGCATGCAGGTGTGTTGTTACGTCACGGAATGTCGCAATGCAAACATCTTGTATGGCCAGTTTTGTAATTGAGTTTACACGTCTAAATGGTTTCTAACTAAAGAGCTTACAAAAGTTATCGAATAATCGAAAGTATACAAATTGGAGGGAAAATTTTAGATTTCTAATATTTCTGTGTATAATATTCTGTGTATCTTACAATGAATACTAGAAAACAGTATATTATTAGTACAAAAATAGCATTTTAATAAAATACGTTTATTTATAAGAATCATAATGGTATTGCTAAGAGAATAATTAATAAACAAGATTTTTTGTTTTAATTTTGTTACACCTTTACACATACCTATACAGCCATCATCAAGAGATCGGGTTTGTGAATTAGGTATCAATGCCGTGATTTGCTATTTATAGGAACATGGAAACCTCAACGTTGGTATTGGAAACCCTAGTCGAATGAAGTGACCGCAGGTGGAACAAAGTCAGGCAGGATTTTATTACATAGTTTATTTTACTGCTTCTAGTTACGTAGGTAGACAGTTCTATGGTTTTTTTTAATAATGGAATGGCGCACCTGTTTCTGCTGAAGGGATACCGCGTGGAAATCAACCTGATATGGTACATTGCTAACAATTGGGTTATTAATTCACATTATAATACAAATAACAATACCCCGCAGTAGTGTTTGTATGCGTGTATAAATAGTATTTATTATGCGTATATAAAGAATTTATTAGATAATTATTATCGGATGGTACAAATTATATATAGTTCTAGCTGGTCACTGACTTGACACAAATGTTATAAACGGGCGTAAAAAAACCATAAAGGTTTACTTACAAACTCGACTATCTTTAGAGCGACCCATTTGTCGCATACCGCCATCGCAGCTTGATAAGATGCGATTGCGCCACACAGGTTTCACTGTCTACCGACTGCATACACAAACAAGTCCATGTGTTCACTTTGTTGTCATAATTACGAGCACAGTAACGCGGTAGGCGGCCGCGCTGCGCGGGCGCAGTGTTTTGTTTGAAGCAAACGACCATTTTCACGGTGGCATGTCGTGGCATTGGAGGAAACATTTGTCCTACATGGACGAGCTGACGACGCAGTGGCGCGGAAATGTGCACTCGCGATGAAAAACTTCATCTTGTATTTAATAGCGTTAAATTAACTCTGTATCATGTGGGAGATCAGAGATAAAAATTAATATTCCACTTTACTTTAAGATAATTAAGATTTATATGATAGTTGTATACAGCCTATTTATGTACATTTATTTTCAATCAACTTATTAAAAAAAACAGGAGTCTCTCACATTCTTAATTCGTAATATAGTTAATATAACTTAGTACAGTAGTATAATAGTACTTAAACAAAAACGAAAAGAAATAGTAAGATTTTATTTATCTTATGCTGACTTTACCTTTAAAATCTATTTTGCAACATATCTAATTATCACGAGAACTTGTGTTTCATTACAAATACTAAATAATATAAATTCCAAGATGTGACAAGTAGTCACCCAGAATAAATGTAGGTCATGCAATTTGGTAATAAATTAATAAAAACGGAATTAATAAAATAAAAATTAATAAATACTGAGGTCAACTGAGGTAACAGGAAAGGTATTAAAATTAAAAAGATTATAAATATGGTCTCTATATATTTTGAAGTGAGATCACAAACCTAGTATAAATAACAATTTACCCTTAACTTTAGCCAACATAAAAAAAAAATACTTTTTCATATAAAATATACCTTCACGACTACGACGGGTAACCCCCAGAAGCGGTAGGCAGAGACATTGTAACATTATCTTATCTGTACTGAAAGTAACATTTGACATGACATTTCACTTCGTAAAGTTGTAAACCTAACGAAGACATGCAAAACCTATGGGATTGATTTTGGTTTGTTATCGGTATTACCGTCATAGGAAGGGCAACAGAAATTTAAACGGACTTTTTAGAAATTTCCAACTCGGACTTACCACTTTATAGTTCTTCGGGGTAATTATCAAATAAAATATCCTGTAGTGTCAGTACTTCAATAGAGTAGTGATATTCATTCATTTTCAACACCATCGCTCAGTAATAGTAGTAGGTAGGTGCAGCGTGTGTATCGCGTCAAAGTAATTATATCAATAATGTTCTAAACCATTAAAATATTATCAACAGATTCTGGAAATGTTCTACAGTTATCTACTTATTAAACTAGTATTAATAAATTCTTTATAACCGTAATAACTAACTTAAATTCTTTAAGTTAGTAATTACTCTTATAAAGAGGAAAGATTTAATTCGGACTCAAATGAAGACTCGGAAAAAAATTAGTAACCAATTTTGAAAATTGTATTACCTATAAAAATGTACATTATCGAGGACTAACATAGGCTGTATTTAATAAAAAAAAATGCCTACTACTATAGATAGACCTCGGTAGAAATAATATGGCTCTACTGTTACAAAACTAAATGTAATACATGTTTAAATTTGTACACGATCCCACCAGATCTATCCAATACAATCAATACGCCTACAATTCTTCCCAGAAGCAGAGATTATGTTAGCTTTTCATTCCGTTATGTTAAAAAGTACATGCAAATCTAATAAAATAAACACAATATTATATATAAACTCAAAGTTGTGACCAACCAGTGTTATTATTGTAAGGTGGTAAAAGCGCAAAATAAAACGAAAAGAATATTAAATCATTATACTTAAATTTATTAATCAATACTGGCGTGCAATAGTTATTAAAAATCTCATAAAATACCGAGAGATAAATTCATATTATGGTCTCCTTACAAAATGTCTATATAGATGTTGTTAATTATTTATAGATAGATAATTTCATAATGCTGTTGTTCATTCAATGCTGAGAAAACACTTCCAAATTGATTTACTTTAAACCTGATTTTAAATAGACATATTCATAACAGATAAAGTATAATAACATATTTCAGTGAAAAAACATCAAAAAAATGCAGATTGCCAGCAGTGCAATAATAGCAATAATATATAACTAAGTAAAGCGGGCCGGGGGCCGCGCTATTTCTCTTAATTCATATTCTATAACATTAGACAATAGTGAACAATCATGCTTAAATATACCGATGTAGTCTTAAAAAAAGCTTTAAATTTCAATACATATCAATAATCATACCATTCAAATGAATTCTTAATTAAAATACATTTATTATATTAAAAGAATGTCTAAAATTAAAAATCTTTATCTCTCTTATTCTTTGGAGTGCAAGAGAAAATATTAATAAATAAAATATATAACAAAAATTTTCGTTTTGAGAATAACAGCAATTATGCAATATTGGAAATCTGATTAAATACAAAGTTGATGAAGTTGCTTTCTGAATTTTAAAATGTTAATAAAATCAATTTGATTCGGAATAATAGACAAGCAATATTAAGTGAGATACATGTAAAAATACATATAAATTGTAACAAAAATACATATTTAGTAAATACATACTTTTGTTATACCAAAAATATAAAACCCAGGCAATAAATACCGTCAATAAAACACAGATTAAGCAACCACTAAGCCAGTCAAGAAAATGTGTGCAAGACAATTTATAAGCATTGACATAATAATATGCAATGCAAGTTCCCTTACACTCCAGAACCATATTAGCTAGCGCCGTACATACGACACCACATGCATTTTTTAATTAAATCGTGCAATAAATCAATAGAACAAACATGAAATGCGAACAATAAATAAAGTCTGGATAATTACGCAAACCTTTTTATTCATCTTAATTTTGTAATCAATCATAGAACCGATTAAATTATATATTAGATATTATGTTTATATTTCTACGAATGGAGAAATTAGGTCTAAGGCCAGCATAGTTTTTTTCGTATATTTTTTTATCCCATATCATAACAATACAGTCTTGTATGGAAATTCATACATGGTAAACTATTTAAAATTACATATAATAACAGTAAAATATAATAAGATTTTGTCAGATATAAAACACATAGCTAGCTAACATGCAACAAGCACAAATCTTATATGTAAAAATGTATTAAAAAAAATATACGATTTGAAAATTTTCTTTAGGATTTCAAAATATATTTTCATATAAATTTATATCCACAGATACTTGATATTGCCTGCGTCGGGCCTTAATTACCATATGACTGTGTAATCGATTTGATCAACAATTCATTCATATAATCTCTAATATATAGGATAATAGGTATTGCGTAATAATCCAGCGGGGGCGAGTCACTCACTCATGCTTCTTCGGGGTGAATAACTGGTAGAGCGGGTGAGGGGTGGTCCACGGGTTGAATTCAGGCACGGCTGAGCCCTGGTTGGGATACAGTTGCTGAGGCGACGTCGGCGTCGGCTGCATGGACTGCGCTGGCTGCACGGCCTGCATTGTCTGCATGGGTTGCTCGGCCGGCGGGGCCCACACAGAGCGTTCAGCTGCTCCCAGACCCAGTCCCATGCCCAGGTTAAGCGAGGCCATTGACGACGCGAGGGACTCACCACTATCGGGGATGCGATTGGACCACCTTATAGAATATTATGTAATATGTTAATGACTGAAGGAAAAGGATTTTCAGTAATGTGGCCTGTTGACCCCATTGCCAGCAATGTGACATTTCAGGTTGACTCCATGCAGTTCCCCTGGAAACTATCATGATAAATTACTGGTGAATTTGTCACAATCGCGATGAGCTAGCTGACTTAACCTCATGTTCATCTTATCATCCTTCACCTGTGCCCCGCCAGCGCATACCGTTAGCGCAGTCGGGTATCAGTAAAAAATACTTTAATGACCATTAAATTTAATATTACCATAGATAAAATAATATTACCAACTAATTTTAAAATTTATTTTTAATCGATTAGAAATAGGGCACACTTCTATTATTTTTTTTAAATTCAGGAGACTCAATATTATTTATATTATTATACGATATATATAATAAGAGCCAATATGTTACACGATTAATATACATACAAAATAATTATAATAAATCTATCATGACGCTGCCAACTGCACTGTGCCATGGAAGCGCCAAATGCCACCTTCGGGCAGTAGTCTTACTTTATGAAAGTGACAGCATACTGGTGGGGTCCCGGGGACCCGGGCTGTATTCGCCTTGGAGCTCGCGTTGACTCGACTTCAACTGCGTCACCCTCAACGACATTATCCACTTGAGTAAAATATATAAACTATGTATGTGGTATACAAACTCTGTAGTAGCGGCGGCGTTGCGCTGTGCCTCTTGTATCATGCGCAGTCGCCGCGCCTGCGACCACGGCTCCAGCGTGTAGGTGGGGGCCGCGGCGGCTACCGGCGGTAAACAACCACCACCATCTTCAGAAACGCGAACCAACTCTACACCATGTTCTGCGGTCCAGTGACCAACCTATCATAAAGTAGTACATGATTTTTGTTACATGTTAACATGTGTGTTCTCTTATGTATATATGTTCTTGAAAAAAATATAGTTTGCATCAATTGTTAGACTAGACGTTATGTGAATTGTGCAGGCGTATTATCATTATTATTATATAGACGACAATTGCCACTTAAGATCAGGTGAACCATCCACTTGTTTGCCATTAAAATAGTAGTAGTAGTAACTGTACTGTTTGTCTGCACTCAGAAACACCCTGTTTGATGTCCGCATGACGCCAGCAGTGTGTACTAGAGACGACATTATGCTTCCTTCGCTTTCCGACGTGGGAAATATAGTATAGAAAGTATATTTTTTATGATAATTATGGTAATTAATCCTCACCTCCCGGTACTGTCTGAGCAGCTGTCTGGACTGCGGCAACGACCAGTCCACCGCCGGTCTAGCACCGCAGCCCCAAGCGGCTGCAGCGACTGCCACCAGCGCCTTTCTGGCCATCGCAGCGCCGCGGTGCGACTTGTACTCCACGATCGCGGCGCATGAAGTTATGGACCGGCGTATGCGGACCTCTTGCACTTCGTCAGTCAGCGCGTATAAGAGGCGAACGATCTCCGCAGAGGGTGTGGTGTGCGGGATACGCGATATGAATAAACGACAATTGTTGATTGATGGACACACGCCTTTGGGAAATATAAAAAAATTCAAAATACTATGTTGGCAATAAGACGTTTTAGGCAAACTAAAATTCAAATTAGTAAGCGAATTCAAACTTACTATACTTATTCAAAAATAATTCTCAAAATTTTTCAAAAAAAAATACAAAAGACAAGTAGTAGCAAATTGTGTGTATTGATTTAACTGTATCAAATCCATTTGCCACTGTCGGAACGTCTATTTATTTATAAGACCACAGAATTTGATTACATGTGGTTAGTTACTAAAACTTACCATTGCTTTGACCGCGCAAACAGTTATATACAACAAAATTAACAAAAATTAGACATTGTCCAATAAGGAAAGATTACAATATAAAATAAAGTAACGAAAGTTACGTGGCAAAAAAAGAAAATTCAAAATTTTGAAGTTTTTGATATGACTTATTTCTAATTGTTTTGAAGAGAATTCTCGTTGCGAAAGTTTACTGTTAATTAAAATTACTTATTATATATATTATTGTTACCTAGTTGCCAGCACGGTCTAATCATATAGTTGTTGAAAATCCGTATGGCATTTTTTGCCTCGCTCTCCGTCGTGTACATCGCGAATGCATACCTATAAATTAAAAGGGGTAAGGTTATTTTTACATAATTAGGAATGGTAGATGATCTATCGACCTATCCGTATTAGAAAGTGGTAAGTTGGTAACCATAAACACCACCCCAAACAGAAATAGTACATAGTCGATAACACATCCTGTTACCATTACTGGGACCTAAAATGTAATATCTTAATACTCAGTAATTTCTACGCCATATCTTTGGACATGATAAATATAAATTACATTTTTAGTACCACTCATATAGGAAAAAAGTAATCAATTATCGATAACCAATTCATCATACCGTAAATCCAATAAATATAAAATTCGCACAGATTTCATCCTGGGCACACCCCGGAATCAGGGTGTAAAATTGTATATCGTGTTTATATTTTTGTTTACAGTACTATGATTACGTATTACGTCACTAATTTCTCTATAATAAGATAGTATGTATTGTCAGAAACTAAAATTCGGTTTCAATTTCCAATATTTTTCTGGCAAGAACTAAAAATAACATCTCGACAAGACCGCAACCAAATCAAAACATAAGCCGAAACATACACACACAATTAATAACAAAACTTAGATACTTGCCCCCTGTTCCAGCCCGAAAAATTTATCATTAGCCGAAACTCGAATAATTCGCCAGCCTGCTGGAAAATTGGCACCAAGGTATCCTCGAAGCAGTCATGCGGAATTCGTCCAATGAATACCTGTAATAGTCCCTCATTATAACATAGTGGCACGAAAAGCTAATTTTCATCTATTCTATACCTAACGCCTGTTACAGGGAAGTGAGCAAATTAGTATTACAATATAAATAAAAGGCGATGACCAATATGAAATATAACAATCACAGAGAATAAATACAGACAAATATTTCTTTGTAAATACATACTAATATTATAAATGTGAAAGTAGGAATGTTTGTTACGCTTTCCGATCATCATTAAATTTTGTACACATGTTCTTGGAGGTATTTAAATTAACATAGGATACTATTTATTACTGAAAACAATTTTTTTTTTAGTAGTAAACAGAATGAATGAATGAATTTGCTACGATAGCTAACTTACGGATGAGCAATACGTGACCCGCTTGCCCTTTAAACATATTCATGTGGCCAACCAAGCATTTTTAAATTTTAATAAATTTTTTGACTTCTTCTATTTTAACTAAATTTAATAATTTACCAAACTTTATTTATAAAGAACATTAGAAAAAAATACATTATATAAAAAAATTGTATATAAGTATAAATAGTGCAATAATAAAATCTCGCGCCGACGCGGCGCGTTCGCATTGCGTAAGTGAAGTCCCCGCTAAGTAACTCTTTTGAAACAAATGTTTCGATTTATTTCACTATAATTTTATTATAATTAATTTTATAAAAAATTCTTGATGGTATAATAAGGGTTACTTTATTCGCGGACCGCCAAAAAAATATAAAATTAAAATTGCCCCGTTGATGAAAAAGGTTGCTGACCCCTGCGCTAACTAGGTATCCTGACTTCATTCTCATTCTGTCATTCTCTACAGACACACCGCCGGTGTCTACCTTCAGCTCAGGCGTGTTCATAATTCCATAATCATTCATAAAATAAAAGCCAGCACCAGGAAGGATGTTTCTCAAAAATTCGAAATATGTAGTACAAATAATTCTACCATGTCAATTACACGATAGACGGAACGTATAAAAAGCACTTAACAACAACTCTCCAGAGCTCCGACCAAGCGTCGACATCTACTCACACACATTAGGTTCCGCCCAAACGACAAACTGGCCGTGTCGCTAAGGCCATTTTGACTTTGGAGCACGCTAATAGAACGGCGTTGGCGACATGGGCCGTCGGGAGTAGTCGGGACTAAACCTGATAATATCAGCACAGCCGAAGTGCTTAGCCCAGACAAGAATCCAAATTTTATTACAAATTAGGAATGAATATTTTCATATTTAAAATACTGACACTTAGTATTTTTTTTTTATAAATGATAATGTAATGGTGCACTCGCCTGCGCTAACGGTTTACGCTGGCGGGGCACCAGTGGAGGATGATAAGATGAGAATGAAGTCAGGTCAGTTAGCCCATCGTGAGAAATTCACCAAGAATTTATCACGATGGTTTCCAGGGGGAAACCACGTGGAGGTCAACCTGACATGGTACATTACTAACAATCCCCGTTCCCCCCACTGACAGTACGCGAAACGAAAAATAATGTTCAGTTCGACCAATGTATCCAACTTTTCACATTAAGTATACGTATTTTCTGTGATGAAGGCTCAGGACGCTAATTAAGTTGCTCTACAACAAATATTCTTAAAAATAAACATGTTGAATCATCAGAATTCCAAACAGATGGTAAACCTAAAGCTACTATTGTATTCTTATAAGAATTCTTAGCAACTAAGTTACATAATTAAGCCCTGTGCACCTCTAATAATGCGCACTACGGACTCGTTAACATTAGCGACATTGGATAAAATATTAGAAAGCCGATTCCTGAGCGCCCTCCAGTTCTTTGCATACTCCAGTTCATCATTTCATTTTCATTTCAAGTTTACTTGTATTTTCACAGATAGCGGAGGCAGAAACTTAAATAGAGCACGCCCCTATCACACTAAACCTCCATACCATACCACATTCGAAGAATTATTAACCAATATATCAACATAAGACAATATTGTTAGTTATCGGCATAAATGGCGGGAAAAATATAGAGTGTGAAAGGTATTAATTAATATTTAAAAATATCATCAATTATATAGGTATCAATTAATGTTCATTTTCTGATTATATTACATAACAAAACCAGTTCAAATAGATATTGGAGTTTGATTTATTTCGAAAAAAAGTGAGTCTAAAATGACAATGCGAAATAGGTAACTAACTACTTTCAAATTTTAGCAAACATATTTCTAACCTCGCAATTCCTTAAGGGCTCCGGTCCACTCCATGCATGAGGAGCCTTCCTAAAAATCCTTTGGCCATTTATTTGTGTAAGAGTATACGATGTGTTTTCCATCAACGATAATAATCTAGATGATAATTCATACTGATTCACTTCATTAGATGAGTTATTCGCAGGGGGCATTTTAATAAAAATAAATATTACTGAATTTTATTAATAACAAAGAAATGATCCACTTATATATGTTCTTCCCGGGTAAAATCCCAAAAAGAAATGTCGCAAAACAGTAACAAAAGTAAGAATATTAAAATGGCGTAATGTGTAAACAAAATGGCAACTGACCTTGAAAATCGGTTGAACAAAAAAAATCAAATTAATAAATTATAACATAAAATGAAGTAGATATAAATATACTTATGAATTGTAATTAAAATCATTATTATTACGACTATTTTTAAAATGTTATTTTAAATATATTTCAATTAGTAATTAAGTTGATTCATTTTTAGTAAGTAAATAATATTTACGGAAACGGACATGGGCATATTTAAATTTAGACTGTAACATTCTTTTGTTTAAATAATGTAGGGTTCTGTCTGTGAGATTGTGAAACATTTTTGGAAACCCATACTCAGTATTTACCATCACAACTTTTTTTATAGAGCTTGTATGAATATTTTTAATGGGTTATAGAAAAAATAGTATACCTACTAATACGAAATGTATTAATGTAGATTATTACATATTTTGGTTTTCATTAAATACGATAATGTTTTAGTATCGTGTGAAGGTAGCTAGGTAGGTATATAACCCTATAGTTTACATCATATTATGAAAGAGACTGGAATAAAACATTTGTCGGTCATAAATAAAAAAAGTTTTTTATATTAAATATTTTATTAGTGTTAGTTCAGTTAAAAAATAAGTTAGTTCTAATTAAACATACAGAACTAGAGTGACAATATTTACTAACAGTAGAAGGATAGATTGATATAATTTTACTCCATGCCGTCTTGTTATTTGGCTCATATCTAGACTAGTTTTCAATTGCATTCTAAGAACATAAATCTTACGAGTTTTTGTATTCATCCGTAATATTTGTTCCTTAGTAAAAAATTGTAATTTTTTCTGGTCCATTTTTTTCATAACCTGTGGAGTAATTGCCGATACTGCTTCCAATTGCACTAAACTAATGTCGTTTTCTGGAATACCTAAACACAAAAAAAGTAGGTACTTTAGTTTAAACTACGGCAGAGTATTGGAGTTATTTTTAATTGGCCTTATTGGCCTTGTTCGACCCACTTACATGCTTGACAAGCCTAAAAACAATTTAATATGATAAATAGAAAATGCAAAACCTAGGACCTACACGTCAATAGCGCACCCAGTCTATTAATTTCATTAGAAGACCACTTGTAGGGCTCACCATAAGCATCAGAATGAATAGCTATATTATAAAGAGTCTGAAACATATCGAAAACTCATAAGTTAAAGATTCTAAAATAGCGATTAGAATCTCTTAGAAATTACCATTGGATACCTACCTTGGTTTGATTAACACTACAGCGTCCCAGTTTACTCAAAATATCAACGTTAATCTCTCTGAATACATGAGGTGTGATTTTTTTGAGATCGAAGGCGGGGAATCCACATATTAAATAGCCTAATTCATTGATTCGTGTGCCACTTTCATACCATCGGTTACCAAAATACCGTCTATAGGACGCCACCAAAATACCAAACTAAAAGAAAACTAAATCAATATAAAAAATTAATTACAAGTAGTCCATCCATGCAAAATTTCTTAAATTATTAAATTTGAAAAGCATTTTCCTTGATTAATTATAAAGTTTATCACTTTCATACATTAATATACATTGTATTACTATATGTTTTCCGTCCATAATCTTTATAAACATTTTTTTAATTTTCTAACCTTACGAGTGTCTAATTTAATGTAGTTCCTAGAAAAGAAACTGAGTACAGATGGATCACCGAAGTTTACATAGTATAGATCTTCTTCCGGCACTACATTCAAAAGAGATCCAAAGGCTAAATACTCTCGTCCTTGTAAAAAAGCTGCTGTCTTTCCATCTGAAATAAATTCCCTCTTAATATAAATTAATAGGTAGTATAGTAATATACTTTACTTACTCAAAGCCCGTAAATTTAAATCTAGGTAAACTTTGCGTGTCGATTTATAATTCTGTCTGACTTTCAGGTAATGAAGCAACGAAATCATACAAAAAATAATCAGCAAGACGCCTGTAGGCTCGCCTCCTGCGATATTATTATATTATATTTAAAACATGGCCCGCAAAATGTTGGTTAATCAAATCTTGCAGTCACCATTACGTTGGCAGGTGACAATGCCCCGAGTTACCCTCATCTGGAATAACAGGCGTGACGATATGTGTGCAAAAATAGTTTTAATTGTATAATTGTCCTGGTACTATTATAAATACATCACAGACTAGACAAATCGGATGTAGCTGATAAAATACGAAACAATAGTTAAATTATTTATTTATTTCAATAAAGACAACAAACCAGTAACAATATCCCAAGCAAGCAAAGCCCTTGTTATTGGTATTAAATGTTTCCTTGTGTATATTAGTATATGTAAAATAGTTTCAGCGTCGAGTCTCATAAAAGATCTGGGAGGCCCAAAGAATATCATATTCATGGACTGTTCAGTTCTAATTCTATTGTCCATTTCTTCATAAAAATCGTCATATAAGTTTACATTTTCTGCAATAATAATGTCGTCATCATCATCAAATTAAGTATATTGCTACCATGCCATACGACCTCAGTGTCAAAATAACGCATTTCTACTGTCTTGTAATATTACGTCTATTGATATATCTACAGATTTGTTCCCTTTAACTTCTATTTTTGTTATAGGAGTCTTCTCCTATTATTCATAAATTTTTCTAGACTATGTGTTAATGTCTAAAATCTATTGTAAATTAATGAATGTGGCACATGCACTGCATTATAAGAAATCACACAGATGAAAAGTTCGATTTCTTAAGCATGTTTCGTATTATAAAATCAAATATCAGTGCCTTTATCGGGAACTGCAATCATTGAATTTTTGTCGTCTTCGTAATCCAATACCATATCTTCTATAGATTTCGTCACCTGTCCAGCCTCACTGATTGGAAGATTTCTTATAACACTAAAAAGAAACGATATTTTTTATATGAATAATTATAATTTTAATGAGATTATAGGTTCTTATTTTGTTATTCGAACAAATTATAGACGACGTTCGACAAACAAATTGTAGTTTTTCGATAACAAATCAGTTATGCCTTCTGGAAAATGATTCCATAATGTTGTTCTAAATATCTCATAGTCGATTTATTCAAAAAATGTCTAATTCTATAAAAAAACTACATCAGTGTAAGTATATTTAATAGAAATAGATATCTAATTAAATATAAATAAAAAATGTTTAATGCAATCTTATGTAAAAGAACAAACTCAAAGAACAATTAAAAGTTACTACAAGTTAGTACATGCATTATTTTTAACATGTAATTCTATATTATTAAAGTTATTGCCAAGAAGGTAATGATTTTTATCGGTTTGTACTGATAATATTTGAAACCATTGTCACCATAATAATGCATATTGGTCAGAAGTGTAGGTTTCATACCTTTCTAATAGTATAAATTGAGAAATGATGATTAAATTCATATACATTTTTATATGCTCAAAATACCTATAGTAGATTATTTTATAACTAAAATAATTTTATAAGACATTCAAATGATATCGGAAAATAAAAATCAGGATGGTCTTTTTATTCTCACGATTATTATATTTTTTTATGCAACTCGCTATCAATACAATTACAAAATAAAAATAATTTAAGCATAATTAATAATTATAACTAATATAATCAAATACCCTTAGCTTAAAAAGAAATAAATAGTGTTATATGTATTGTATTATAATGAATTTAAATGTAAGGTTTAAAAAAAAGGTGTCTTTGGTTTAATAGGAACTACATTTTGACGTTTGGATAGCTTTTGTTGGATTGTCAGTCGAAATGTCAATCGGCAATCCATATATAACCTCACTTTCTTATGGATTTTCTTTCTTGAGAATTTGAACATTTTTAACTGTGAAATATTGGAATATTAAGGATAGAACTATTATTATTCGTGATTTAATATAATTGTGTCAAATGTGTAGTACAATTTCATATAAAATAGTATTTAAATACCAAAAATAGCATTTGGTTAAAGCAGTTCACTTATCTGCTGTTTTTAGTTGAAGATTGTGCAAAATGGGCATTTTAGAAAAAATATCTGAAATCGAGAAAGAAATCGCCAGAACACAGAAAAATAAAGGTAATCCATTATAAATATTTTTACAAATGTGCCACACATTGGTCAAAACTTTATTTTTAAAATTATTTCAGACATGTCTGTGTGATTTAGTTAGCAAAAGTTTAGTAGGAATATATTATTTTGTTACCGCATGGTAATTTAATATGCAACATTGAATTATAAAGTCATAGATTTTATAAACCTCTTTCATGTATCCATTAAAAAGACCAATCTTTATATAATATAAGTCTGTGATTAAAGTAAGTTCCTCATTTAATATAACTGTCATTTACAATTTATTTCTTAAGATTTTTGTACCGTACATATTAAGTGAATTTAAATGTACAATAAAGTATTACATACATGAATTTCAGTTCACAGTGGTAAGGCAGTGAATTTACAGAATTTAAGGACATGCCATCTTGAACTTGGCAACATATGAGTAGTATCACATTGTTTATATGATGATATGAGGTCTGAGATACTGTTCATGTATGTTGGTGATAGTTGCCACTTACCATCTAACTGTTAGCTTGTTAGCTATTCCAGCTACATAAAAAAACATTCCATAAAGAGACTTTGTCTTGCTTGGTCAGTGATACCTTATCACTGACCAAGCAAGACAAAGTTATGAATTATTACTATGTATATGATAGTATGGGAATCTTTCACAATATTTTTGCCAGTTGGATTAAGTAACAACCTGTTCCTTTTTTGACATAGTGCTTAGTATTTACCTACTCAATTAAAAGCGGTAGGAGGTTCAAATCTGGCCTGCTCAAAAATCTTTCATGTGTCAATTTGTATTACTGAAGACTCTGGTGATGGAAACACTGATATCAAACCAAAAATAATCTAAGTATTGCTAGTAGGCTCACCTGCCATGTTGGGTACATATATACCCATAAATAGTTGTGGGTATGTCAAATGTAATGTTAACACAAACTAACACATCCAGGATAACAGTTAAGAAGTAGGATTACATAGAATACCATGGCAGATTGCCATCATCAGTGCCATGACCACACAGACAATTTAATTTTTTTTTTACATTAATTTAATATCTCTTATATGTATGTTAGTCTGTAAGGTAATATTTATAATATGGGCCATTAGTAGCTTGAACTAAAAAAATAAAAATATTGTTGTGTTTCTATTCCTTTATAATGTTACTTGAAAATTATGTAATATAGTACTTTTTTTGTAGCAACTGAATACCACTTGGGTTTATTGAAAGCGAAACTAGCTAAATATCGGTCACAACTATTGGAGCCATCTAAGAAAGGTGGTGAGAAAGGGGAAGGTTTCGATGTGCTCAAATCTGGTGATGCCCGAGTGGCACTTATTGGTTTTCCATCTGTGGGAAAGGTTAGTTCTATAATAGCTATTTAATAATATTTTTTAAATATCTCACAGTACATCTACAGCATATTGATTGAGTAATAAATTTAAGCATTGTATTATAAAAAATACTACATGTATTGTTACCGTCCATGTTTGTGCGGAGATATAAATAAATTGTATTGTTATTTATTATTGTCTATATCTTTTTTTAATGCAGTTTTTACTGTTGAGTTTGTTTCCAAGTAGTTCTCCAGCAAAATAGTTTAAAATAATCTTTTAAACTCCATTAAAGTAAATAAGTTTTGTTTATGTACACATTTTTATTTACCTCTGTGACATAAGTAAACACAATTTCTGCTACTTTTTTTTAACATTCATTGTACAGGAATTCATGTGCCTATTTTTATTAATTTTATTGAATGTATTTGTTTCAGTCCACATTACTGTCAACCCTGACACACACACACTCAGAGGCTGCAAGCTATGAGTTCACAACGCTCACGTGTATACCGGGAGTGATAGAATACAAAGGCGCTAACATACAACTGCTTGATTTGCCTGGTATCATTGAAGGTGCTGCCCAGGGCAAGGGTAGAGGAAGACAGGTGAATTTATGTTATACAATATGTAGTATTATTTTATTTTTCTATTGTGTAAAAAAGCGTAGTGCTAAGCAAGTGGATAAGCACATTGCTTTACTTCTAATGGCCGCGGGCTTGATTTCTCGCTCGTTGCAAACATTTTTATTGCTTGCATTGCTTGTTATGGGTTGTATGTTTTCTTTGTATATTTTATATGTATTTACAAAAGAATTATAAGATATAAGAATAACTTAGAAAAATTATATATAATCATGACAATACTTCTGTCTATACCATCTAGGGTAACAGTCATGATCATATATTATTATTAGATTATACAATAAAAAGGTTAAAGAGATATTGACAGATTTGACTCTTAGTCAAATTGAAGAGTCTCCATCTTGCATACCAATTGTATACCAAAACAATATTAATTAAAATGAATTAATTTTCATTAAAAGGTTATATATAAACTAAATATGTAACTGAAAAAAATATATCTGGGTAACATTATTTTTGGCATTAGTTATTTTATATATATATACATATATATATGTATATAGTATTTATAATCATATTATATAAACTATTTGTCAGTATTATATGTTAATAGGTAATAGCAGTTGCCCGGACTGCGGACTTGGTGCTGATGATGTTGGACGCCACGAAACCGTACGTACACCGCCAATTGCTGGAGAAGGAATTGGAGAGTGTCGGTATCAGACTGAACAAGTCAAAACCCAACATATATTTTAAGGTAATCTATACAAATATTATACATAAAATTGAAGTGTCACTTTGTAATTTCAAATTAACAACTTTTCACTAAATGCAAATGACTCCAAAAAAGGATATTTTTTTTTATGTTTATTACTTCATAAGTTCATAACACTGTCATTTATAAACCAATTAGAAAAATAATATTCTTTTTTATTTGAAAGAGCATAATTTTTGATTAGGGTTTGGACAATTTTAGTTGCGAGTTTTATGAGTCGGTTATTTTTGATAATATGTTATTACAATAAATTTACAAACTAAATATTAATATGGGTAATTGCGGGCTCAGTTGGTAAATGAATATTTCAGGTGAAGAAAGGAGGCGGTCTATCGTTCAACTCGACGTGTCAGCTCACCAAAGTGGACGAGAAGATGGTACAGATGATCCTGCATGAATATAAAATATTTAATGCGGAGGTAAATATTGATATTTAGTTAAACAACTTTATTGACTTGATGGCCTCAGTGATCTAGCGGTTTAGCACACTGCTTTACTTTCGACGATCGCGGGTTCGATTCCTTGCACGGTCACAGCATGCATGGATTTATAACCTATTTGTTATTCTGATATATTACTGTAAAGTTTTATCAAAATCCGTTCAGTAGTTTTTGCGTGAAAGAGTAACATACATCACCATAGTCACAAATTTCACATTTATAATATTAACATAAAGACTGAAGACCTGTTTTATTTAGGTGCTTTTCCGGGAGGATTGTACTCCAGATGACCTTATTGACGTGATACTAGCCAACCGTGTCTACCTGCCCTGCCTGTATGTATACAACAAAATAGACCAGATCTCCATACAAGAAGTGGACAGGATAGCTAGAGAACCAAACTCCGTAGTTGTCAGGTAAATATAACTTAGCAAGTATGATCATAAAAGTAGATTACTGGTCCTGACGTGGTACCGAACCTTACACGCTGGTCATATCAAGCACCACTCCCAAGAATACTCCGTCTGTTAATGACATCTTTAAGATGATCACTTGACTCCTTTAATTGTACTGCCACATAGTTTCAAAGAGCAATACAAAGCATGTACAAAGGAGGTACAGTATTGAAATAGTTTTCAAATATAGATTTTTATTAACATTGTACTTGTATCATATTTTTTATTGTTATTATTATCATGATTGTATGTGTATTGGCTTATGTTTATTTGTATTGAGTGCAATTAATATTATACTGACACCAAGAAAGAGTAATTTTATGAATAAATATTTATTTTTAGTACTAGCTACCCTCCCTGGCTTTGCCCAGGTGTAAATATATTATACATATAAAACTTCCTTTTGATTACTCTATCTATTGCTAAAAACAGCATTGAAATCCGTTGCGTAGTTTAAAAGATCTAAACTAAAAGATGAATGTTTAAAAATAATTCTACCTCATTGTTAAGATTTATATCAGTATATAGGTACAAAGTACTAGTATATAATATTACCTTTTATTAATTTCAGTTGCAATATGAAATTGAATTTAGACTTTCTATTGGAGACATTGTGGGAATATCTGTCCCTGATTCGAGTTTATACCAAGAAGCCCGGACAACCGCCAGATTTTGACGATGGTCTCATCTTGAGGAAGGTAATAAAGCTCGATGCATAATAGTCTATCATATAATCTTTATTACACTTGTAATATATATCCCATCAAAAACATAAATGTGAAATGATAGCCGAGTTTAATATTATGATATATGCCTTGATTGTTGACTTCTACGACAAAAGAGATGAGATCTAAATGGGTGCCAAGTTCAATGGTCTGTCCTGAAATGTATTTATAACAATATAAAATATCATTTCTTCTTATAACTTAAGATAATATACTGTAGCCTAAGGTCTAACTTGGCCAGTTCTCATATACCAATTATTACTTTCGATTGCTAGTTACTACTAATATTAAAATAGGAACCGAGAAGTAATATGTTTAGAACTTGCGAAGGCTACAGTATATTTCGTATATGAAAACTAGCCAAGTTAGACCTTAGGCTACAGTATATTATCCTAAGTTATAAGAAGAAATGATATTTTATATTGTTATAAATACATTTCAGGACAGACCATTGAACTTGGCACCCATTTAGATCTCATCTCTTTTGTCGTAGAAGTCAACAATCAAGGCATATATCATAATATTAAACTCGGCTATCATTTCACATTTATGTTTTTGATGGGATATCATTACTTTTTGTACATAAATTATACGAGGTACTTATTTAAAACTAAATTAATACCAAATTATTTTTGATAAATTACTGTATTTTCGTATATTTACGGGGTATAATTGTCTTTTTTTGTGTTATTTTCTATATTTTCTTGTAACTTTTAAATGTTCAAGTGCAATGCCAATTCAGTATCAGGAATTTTTGGGCAAATCGGGGCGGTATAACGTCCACAGATGGTTGTACTCTACAATAGAGCTCTCGTGACTTGGATCTAAATTGTTAAGACGTACTCCATCTAAGGTTTTAACTCTGGAGAGTCCAACGTAAACCTGCCCTTTATTAAATGTAGAGGAGGCTATGTTGAGAAGAGGACTGCCAAAAGTAAGGCCTTGTGATTTGTGGATAGTAATAACATATGTTAAGCAAATACGGAATTGTTCTCTATCAACATATACATTATTTAATATCTGAAACTTCGTATTGACACGTTATAGTTCGTAAAGACGATTATGTAACAAATTGACTGTTATCTATTGAATTCTCAAGAAAACAATTTGTTACCAATGAGTTCTCATTCTCGAGTTAACTATACATTCCTACTTATAACTATACTAAAATTGTTATTAATTTTTGGTTTAAACTATTGTCTATACCATACGTATTTACTAAAATAATGTAATAATAATATAATCACAAATATATAAGTATAATTTAAGAAAGCTATAAATTTCGTAGCATAAATCACAACCTTATAGGTTAGATATCGAGAAACAAAACATTGAGACATATGAGGGCGGCTGCCATTCGCTCGGACAGGTTCGCGTCAACGTTTTATCGCACCGCTCCCACACGGCGCCGCCGCGGCGCCCTATACCGAAATGCCTATTATTTAATAATTATTTATAAAAATAATGATTTTACACTATCGATGTGCGCTAAATATTGAAATAATAATTAATACCAAATCTCAGTTAATAACATAATAAATACGAAATTCGACTATACTCCTAGTTATAAGTACGAGTATATTTTAGACAGAATCTAAATTATAGCAACTAGTGTTTACCGCTCAATGCAATATTTGAAGTTTGCTAGTTATCGACACTGATGTGAAGGGGTCAACGTAAATTGGTAATGATCGACGTTTTCATACAATATTACTTTCCGTCCAGTACAAGATGAGATTTTTCGCCAGGGATCAATGTCAATTGGTGGCTATCGACGTTTTCATAGAATTTTAGTACTCGTCCAGTATAAGTTGAAATATAATCAATTAAAGTGAAAAATTGTAGTAAAATGATAACAATTTACCAGTTTCAGATTTTTTCCTTTATATTCACCTAATTACCTATCTGCATACCAAATTTGAACTTCCTAGGTCATCTGGAAGTGGGTTATAATTTTGATCTATAGTTGATCAGTGATAAAAATGACGATTTTTGGACATTAATATCTAAATAACCGTTTGAGATATGTTTATGAAATTTGGAACACATATTTATCTCGCAAGTCTCAATATATGAACCAAATTTGACAGGTTTGTGTGAAAGAGTTTTTGAGTTATGAGGGGGTCAAAAGTGGCTCCAAATGGTTCGTGTAAATATACACACGGTGCTGCAGGCCAGTTTACTTGAAACTCGGCTTGACACGCTGCCGCGTGTCTAGATACATTTATAATATAACATAGTTTAGATTAAAAAAGTATTATAAGATTATAAAATTTTGATGTCTGCTATAACATTTAGTGATACTACCCTACAATAATAATAATAATGTACAACAGGGTGTAACCGTGGAACACGTGTGCCACGCCATCCATCGGACCCTGGCCGCGCAGCTCAAGTACGCCCTAGTGTGGGGCACAAGCACCAAGTACTCGCCGCAGCGCGTCGGCATCCAGCACTTGGTCAGCGACGAGGATGTCGTGCAACTCATCAAGAAATAGTATACCCTTCTACTTGTATTGACATTAGCGATAAACTGTACGCAGGTTGAGAGAAATGTCAAGAGGGAACATTACGTATAAGAGTGAAGTATTTATTCTTAATTAACTGCCTGCGGTTTGACCTATCGGTAAAAAGTAAACATACGAATCCAAACGCTTCATTGTTTGATCCGTCATCGGCGAGGAAAGGTTTCGGTCGGCCAAGTAAGATTAATTTGCAAGGCCTTGCCTTGGAATCTGAATTTATTAGATACATACTACCTGCCTATATTTCATGTTCGCTAAATACCAGCCATATATTTCTAAATATTAATATATCGCCCGGTGAAGTTTATACCCTATGTGTTATTCTGATGTATAAGCTATATTATTGTAAAGTTCCATTGAAATCCATACACTAGTTTTTGTTTGAAAGAGTTACAAACATACAAACATCCATCCATCCACACTCAAAAATGTCCGCGTTTATAATATTAGTAAGATTGACATGATGTGATAAAGTGGGCTCATATTATTAGGTTTCTGAACCAGTCTGCTAGATGGCCCGTGTCGTCGACGCCAATGCAAACTCGCTCTTAGATAATAGTTACTTATTATTATACATTTTTGTATGTTTAGGTGAGGTAATTAAATAGTCATAGGATCATGACAGAATATTGAATTAAGTTACATTGTTATTTATCAACGTCAATGAGTTCTTAATTAATGAATTAATAATTTTTCTTTGACTGTAGTTTTATTTTAATTTTATTTACAATTATAAATAATAATTTAACTACAACAAATGTTGACCATTGGTTGTCAAAACGTGCATGGTTGTACATAAACGAAAGTACGTAGTGACCATTTCACATTTATTGTATTTAGTGTTGCCTCTCGAACTTTTTCTTACTCTGAAACTGCACATACAGGCCTGTAACTCGTCAACTTTGTGTGTGGAAATACAAAAGGATAGATTTACAGAAGGAGGTATTATATGATACCTTCCCCGTACACGTTATGGAGTGCCGCACATAAAGTTGCCAAGCTATACTGTAACAACTTCGTCTGAAACAAGAATGAACTACGTAGCAAGTTACGTAAAAACGTATTATTTATTTATCTATAATATACTTAATTATAATTGTTTTCATAATTATATGTTATATTTTATGATTGGGAACTTTTTAAGGCATGTACTCTATTATGTAATGAAGTATGATTGTCATATCGTAAAACTATATTTATATATAGCAATAAACATTTTCTAGATGCAATTTAAAAAATAGCTTACGGGCGTCGGTCCTAGTTATATGAACAGGTAGCACCGAACGTACACTTCCACACCTGTAGACCATTTTTTTTTTATGATGAGATGTAGTAGAGATGAGATATAGGGCTGTTTTATTATGTGTATACATGGATACGAGTACATAAGTATCAGTATGCATCGATTCGTTTTAAGGTATATAAGTTCCATTTGTAATATTTGTATATGATACGTCATTGTATATAACTCAATATACTTTTTGCATTGAAATAAAAATGATTAAATGCAAGTAATGTTTTATTTAATAATAACATACTTATACATATATTTATCTATTATTTAATAAAAAACAACCATCCGCACTTGATTTTAAAGGATTGCGTAAAATTAAATGCAGTTAACTCACTAAATAAAAATAATTTCTGGAGTACTAAATTGTTTTTGTGGTCAGAATTGTGAATATTAGTCAAATGCTTATAATTAAATAAAATGTTGGTATCAACTGATAAGTCACAGGCTATACCTCTGGAATCTAGAATCTTGAAATATGACTATAGGTGACATTCTATACTTTTGGCATCCACTAATTAAAGAAATCTGCCTGATTATTCTAGCCTGTGAATTAATGGAAAAATTGATAACATTTACACAAATCTGCCACTTAAAAAGCAAACATTTGTTTACAGAATGTATGTTGGTTATTGTAAAAAAATCCTACATCCATAATTTAGCATCATAAAGTAACGGCGTGTAATCTCTGCCTAACCCAAACGGAAAAGATATACAGTAATATGACTCTCCATTTTAAATTCTTATAATAAAAAGTACCAATAACTTCATTTTGAAATAAATTAAGATTACAAAAAATCTCTATGATAAATTAGAGATTTTGTTTTTATTTACTCTTAATAAGACTTAAAAACACTTAGTGTTAATACTGTTGTTCAAGTAAATCTGTCTCAACTGTGGCCAGCGCCCACTTGTGTTCTGTTATCTCTAGGGCTTCCCATTCAGCCTTGAATGCGGCTTTTGGGTCTGGGGGCATGGCCATCGCTGCTCCGGACATCTGTTCTTGCATTACTTTCGACTGATCTGCAGCTAAAATTATAATTTTGGTGTCATTTAACAATCTTATGAAAATTATGAAATACTATGGTTAGTACAATGTATCACAGGATGAAGTGATTATTTTAGCAATAATATTGTATATTATAGTAGTTATTTTTTAATGGATAATAATGGATTGCTGCGCCCACTTGCGCTAATGGTTTATACTGGCGGGACACCAGTGGAGGATGATAAGATAAGCATAAGGTCAGCTGAGACAAATTTTTCATTTTCCAAGAGGAATTTATCATTTCCGATCCACCTGACATGGTATGTTGCTATCAATGAGGTCAATAGACCACATTATTAACAATTCCCCTATAACTGATGGTTGCCACTTACCATCCAGTGGCCCAAAAGCTTGCATTCCAATAACATAATAAACAAAAACTATGACATACCATTGTTCTCTCCAAGCACAAGGGCGTATATAGTGCGTAGACCAAACACGTTCAGAAAATACCAAGATGCAGATGATACCCATGAGGCATCCAGATTTGTCAGTTCAACACCTCGCTGTAGCATGGGCTTGAATCGTAAAGTTAGCGGGAATGGTACTTTAGCTAAAGGACAAAGATTAAATATTTGTGTAAATTTAATAAATAAAAAATACATGAATAAAGGCTATAAAAATTATTATCGGAAATTTTACAAAATGTTGGTAACTACTATGTCAAATTACTTTTATTTGTAGACAATATTTTTACTGCATAAACTTAAATTGGCTGCTCATGGGACAATAATGATTGTTTGCTATTATTATTCCAATATTGGTATGAATTGCAATATACATAAACACTATATATATTTATATATCATTGCAGATTTTTTTATTAATTACAATCAATTAAAGAACCACTCATAATACAGTTGTTATGTTGTGAACCAAAATATACTTACTAGTAAGAAAACCACTAAACATCCAGTTGATCCAGCCTCCAATAACAATCATGGGGAGAACATTCGTCACATTGCCCTTCAACATGTCAGTCATCATACCAGGGTCTGTCATTGGATTCTAGAATTAATATAGATAAATTTATTCACCTGTACAATTCTTATAATGTCACTCCATCTAGTATTAAACTAAGCAGAGCTTATGCTATAGGTACTAACATCTTTTGTGTAATTACTGTGTACATAATATACACAATGATCCAGACAAATGCAAACAGACACTTATTGATAAAATGTTTGTGTTGTGCAGGGATTGAACCATCACTGAAAGTAAGTGTAGTGTTAAAACACTAGACCATGCACAAGTGTTACCCATGTAATGGAAAATCTGACAGAGCATTTAGATGGTGGGACAATGATTTCAAAGATATTACACAAACTATTAAGTATGGAAGATTTGACAAAAGATGAACAGACTTCTGAAATGTAAAAATAGTAATGAGTTCCTTTTGATGAAATGCATCATTAAAATTAGTATCTATATAGAAGATGTTACTTATTATTTATATTATAAAAATAAAAAGTTTTGAGTTGATATTTTGAATGATAATTTGACAGGCATTGAAGTTGAAATTGATATTTATAATGATTTTTAATAAAATACTATAAGCAGAGTTTGTAATGGTCATTATCGTCTTATATGGTACCTAATATTGACGACAAATAAATCAATTATTATTATTATGATAGTATTTAGATTTAATTTCTCTATAATTACAAAATCATAATTATTTCATGGCACATCAATGGCCTCATTAGACTTTTATATACATTGACACATGCCAAGATGTCTAGATTGTAAAAATAGGTATAGATTCATACCGGTGATGTTGCAGCACGTTTCTGCACTTTAAAATAACCAGTTTCCTCATTGTTGAACCAGTGGCGACGCATCGCGAATGACTGCCGCGGCAAATATTTCCCATTCTCACGGAGCAGCCTTGCTCTTATCATCACTTGACTGAAAAATATTGTTTCAGGTTATATTTTTTTCTCTTACCTTATATGGTCTAAAGACAGATAGATTGTTTTAATATAGCATTAGTTCCTTTTAATTTAATTAGGTGATGATTTATATTTACAAAATTGTCTGTTACAATTTGAATGTTTTTTTCGATAAAAATATATGTCCATCCTTAAGATGTATTGTTAATCTTCAGTTCAAATTCATTGAGGTCTGTTCAGGTGTTCTTTGTAAAAACATAACTAACAGCATTATAGACACAGTTTATATTAGTATGGGTTGTATTGATTCAGATCACTGATGTTACGGTCTTTGGTACATTTATTTTTACAGTTACACCATTTTTTATAGAATATAATTTAAATTTTAAAGATATTTAGTCTTATTTAATACATTACCTGTCTTGAACTTGCAGAAGTTCAATTTTCTTTTGGGAAGATAATATGATGGAAACATAATGCCTTACAATTCCAACAAGGAACGTGATTATTACTATAGGGAAAAATACCCACAATCGTATATTTGGATCTAGCAGTAATTCTACCATGTTGAATAACTTAAATCAATAGTTAACTATATTTCCTTGTATTTAAAAATCTTTATAAAGGATTTTAAATGATTGAATAAATATTTTTTTGGCTTTTGAACTGATGGAGATTGAATTGATTGAGCTTAGGATGTGAACATGCCTGACGTGTCGGTGAATGACTTACAGTAGGTTTGCTTTGGCAAAATAACTTAAAACAACACTTAAAAAAAATGTGCCTTTGATTTATGGTGCACAGTTTTCATAGTAGTCTGTGCTGTGAGTCGTGAACATAAAAAAAAACAAAACAATATTCTTTTTGGAGGGAATCTGTAAACTTCCATTTTATTTTGTTTATAATAGTTCTTATCATCTTTTAATAACATAACGCTGGGGACATTATTGTTGAAAGTACATACTTATTTAATTAACAAAATGCCGCGTGGAAAAACAAAATCAATAGTCCACACCAAACAAGCTAAATTATCTAAATCTACAATAGATTCGCGAGAAAAAATGAATCAAATTAGTGTGAAAAAAGAAGTAGAAGAGGAATCAGAACCTTTGCAGGAATCCAGTTCTAGCATTTCAGTTCCAGATTTGAGCCACTTTAAATTTGAAAAGAAACCACATATTAAAATAGAGTATGAAAAGGATTCTCCTGTGAAAGATGTAACTATATTTCTTATAATATTTATCATGTTATTTAACTTAATCATTACTAAAGATATTTTAATAAACATTACTTGATGATGGTGTTATAATATTAATACTGCATTATACTGTTAAAAATCCCTTTATACTATTATAGATAAATTATGTGGATTATCTTTAGTGTCTGAAATAATATCACAGGAAATCAATTTATCAGGCATTGTGTGTTTGTGTCCAAATCCAAAGAGTTTAAAATGTTTTAACTTTTTTGTTATATATTTTGTTTACTTTATTAAGTTTATGGTGAAAAATTAATTTTAAACTACAAACCCTTATATGTTAGATAATATTATATTAATAAAGTAATCTGTACTTACTATTATAAATGTGAAGGCTGTTTGTTTGTACTTCTTGGTGAACAGTTTCAACAATCTTAATTAATTTCGGTAAACTGATAATATTTGAGATACGAGAACAGTCTATTCCAGTCAGTCAGTTTTACTAATGGACTATAACTGAAGAAGTTATAGTCCCTTAGTAAAAAATAGTATTTTAAATAAAAAATAAATACTTTTAATCCCTTTTTTTTAATACTAAGATTTTTGATTATTCTTTTATTCTACTACTGGTGACTTGCAGGAAACTAAAGGTTTATGGGAACCACCAAATTGGAGGGAGTTCTTAGTAAATCTAAGAATTATGAGATCAAATTATGATGCACCAGTTGATACTATGGGATGTGATATGTCTATGGATGAGAATGCACCACCTGAAGTGAGTTTCTGGATAAATTGGATGTTACAACTAAATGGCAGTATCATGACTGCATAATATACTAATTATATACACTGCTTATAACAATTTATTTATTTATTTAAACTTTCATCAGTGCACAGTTTAATGTAGTCCTGACTCCCAAACTAGCATTAGCTGTATATCAGGAGTCAGTTCCTTCCCAAAACAAGGATAACAGTTTTAATTTGCATGTAAAATTAACAATTTTTGTTATAGCATTAGTGTGTAAATTTTAATTATATAGCATCTATATTGTTTTTTTTAGGTGATGATAATGTAATGGTGCATCCTTCTGTTTTAACAACATATACTGGTGGGGCACTGGTGCAGGATGGTAGGATGAGCATGAAGTGAGATCAGTTTGCCCATAGTGGTGATATTACCAGAAATTGACCACAGTTTCTAGGGGTCTGTGTGCAGGTCAATCTAACTTGGTACACAATTTTTTCCAGAGGACTGTGTGTATGTGAACATGACATGGTACAGTGCTAGTAATGACGCTATTAGTCCACATTACTAAAAATTCCATTTCTCTCACAGCTTGTATACTTTGTGATCCCTTCAATGTCCTTATATTTGGTTTCTTTTGTACTGTAATAATACTTTTGCTTCTTCTAATGTGAACACAGTACTCAGATACATCAAGAAAGACTATCTAAACATATGGTTTTTATAACATGTTCTATTTTTCAGGTGTATAGATACCAAAGTCTTATTTCACTAATGTTGTCCAGTCAAACCAAAGATCAGGTTACCTTTGGAGCAATGCTCCGTCTCAGAGAAAAAGGTCTCACTGTAGACAATATCTTAAATATGAGTGAAGAGGAACTAGGCAGGTTGATATATCCAGTTAGTTTCTGGAAGGTAACAATATTAACATAACATTCATAAAATTATCTTGTAGTTTTCTTTAATAATCTATACATTTATTAAAAATGTTTATATAGATTATATATGAGAAAAACTATTATTGTGTAACTTTATCAAAAAAAGGAATCCAAAAAGATTGCTTGAATTTTTGTTTCTGAACATCTCAAAAATTGCATAACTGAACTTTGTGCTTATTTCACTAATATATTTAGTAACCTTCATTTAAATTCTAGTATTTATTGGAATTACTTTACAAACACAAAAGTAATGTAAATTTTGAATTAATAAAATTACAGACTAAAATAAAATATATAAAGAAGACAACACAAATATTGAAAGATCAGTACAATAGTGATATACCAGACTCAGTGGAAAAACTCTGTAAACTGTCTGGAGTTGGACCAAAAATGGCACATATTTGTATGAAAGTTGCTTGGAATAAAATAACTGGAATAGGTTGGTAGATCTTAACTTATTTAGACAATTTTTAATGATTTCAATTATTCATTATGTGATTTCAAAATTTTAATATTCATTTAATATTTAATGATAGTATATTTTCCATAAAAAATATGTTATTTCAGGTGTTGATACCCATGTACATCGAATCAGTAATAGGATTGGATGGGTTAGGAAACCTACAACTACTCCAGAAGACACACGTAAAGCTCTTGAAACTTGGGTACCATTTGAATCATGGAGAGAATTGAATGGTCTCATGGTAGGCTTTGGTCAAACTATCTGTGTGCCTATCAGTCCGAAATGTGACGAATGTTTGAATAGAGACATTTGTCCTTCAAGTGGCAAAGGTAGGAAATCACCAAAAAAGAGAACACCTGTGAAACACAATAGTAATGAAGATGAAGAGGTAAATTTGAAACCTAAAAAGGAACATAGTATTAAGAAAGAAATGCTTACAAAGGCAGAGAAGAATGATAAAACTGTGCTTGGAATAGATCAATGCAAAGAAAAAAGTGTGAAAATGAAGAAAAACTTAAATTTTAATACAGATGAACTAGGAGATATAAAAGTAGACAAACCAAATATTAAAATAGAACCTGCTGAATGCCATTTGCAAAATAAAAATGAATATTTAAAAGATTCTACCAGAACAAAGAAAGTTTCAAAGAAAAATACTACAACAGATTCACTTCATGATGTTGATATGAAAAATAGTAAAATAATCGAACAATCAGCACTTAATATTGATAAGAAAAAACTGTCATTAAAAAGAAAATCCCCAAAAAGCAAAATTGACCAACATTTGAATGAAAAAACTGAATTGCATGGTAAGAAAACTAAAAGTACAACTAGGAATTGACTTAAATTTCTACTAATGCATTAATTGTATGTTGGTTGATTTTGATTTGTTAATGTTATATTAAATATGTGTTATGTTAATGTTCCATAATGTTTAAGCAGTAGTAAGACTACAAATATCTCATAAAGTGTTGATTAAAATAATAAAAAATAATTACTTTTAAAATTGATCTTTAATGTTTTCTTCTACCTAACTGTTTTTTAGATTTTTTTGGGTCATTTTTTCCTTTCATATGGTGTTTTTTCTGTTGAGATTTCTTCTTATTCTTGATTCTATCTAATTTACCTTTCATTTGGAAAACTTTACTCTTCTGTATTTTCTTTGTAGCTTGTTTCTTCAGTAATCTTTTGACTTCTTTCTTTGTTTTTAATGTCTCATCTTGATTTTCTTCTGTACCTGATTCTTCTGGTTCACTACCTTCATCTGAATTCATTCCATCTATTTCTTGTATTGTATTGTTACTTTTCTTTTTATTGACTTCTTTATTTTCTTTAGCTATTTTTGGTTTATTATCACCAATAACTAAGTCATTCTTTTGTAGGGTATCAGAAGACAGCTCAACTATCTTAACATTTACATCCTCATCTTCATATTCATCTTGTAGTAATTGCTCTATATCTGGTATTGGACGACTTGACAATACTAATTTCTTATATGATTCTTTATTCTGAAATATTAAAATATTTTACATGAATAATTCATAGGACACAAAATAATAATATTTCTGCTGCGACTTATGCCATTGGAAATAGAAATAGAAATAATTTTATTCAAATAAATTTATTACAAACGCTTTTGAATAGTCATATATTGATTCTGCTACTCATTTGGAATGCAGATTCATCACAAGAAGAATGAGAAACTTGTGTGTTGCTTTTTTTAAATGGCAGAGTAAGAGGCAGCATTACTTTTGCATTTATAATACTGAATGGCACAGAATAAATAAAAGTAATAAGTAAAGACAGTTCACTGACCTAGCAGTTTTTCAGAACCTTACAGAAACTGTACATACAAATATATGAATTTTCCCTATGCATGTGGGATGCAAGATAAGTTATCCCGTATCCACAATTAGCAATACCTAGACAGCAAACAACCATGTGCTTGTTTGTTAACATCATAGTATAAAAAACTAACAGTAGCTAAGTAAACAACTTATTAAAATGAATAAATACAAACATCCCTGATGTTATGGTAGTTTGCAAGAACCTTATTAATTGCTACATATTCATACGTGTTTACACTACCTGAGCTTGTTACTGTTGCAAATGCACTTTGTACAACTTAGGAAATCTGGATTCAGAATGTTTTGGAAACTAAGTTTAGGATCTTACATTATTTGTAGGTTAGACATATTACCTCCTGCTTGATTCTTCTTTTTTCTTCTTTCAAAAGTTGTTGGAGTTCGTCCTGTGCTTTCTTCTTTCTTTCAAGTTTACGTTTTCGGAAGCCACAAAGGAATTCTCTGCAAATAAATTATGAAAAATTATTCTTTACTATAGTTTTTAAAATCAGTCTTATTCATATTATTCATCAAAAATTCACAGCCATGGCAAACGCGGCTAGATTTTATAGCTTTTAATTCATATGTGAAAATAGTAAATTTTTAATAGCCTCAAAAGTTAATTTTATATTGATTACATACTTTCGTTTGTTTTCATCGAATACCAAATTAACTTTATTCTTCTTTTCATGATTTTGGCTTTTCCTTTTTCCCATTTCGGTAGATTGTTTTGTTGTTTACTGATGGAAATATAGAAAATAATAGCAATTGAATTAAACAATATTCGAGCATGCCGTACCTGACACAATTGACACTTGAGTATTTGACAGTTTTTGAGAACAATTTGATTGGTTGCTGCAATCACCGTCATATGTGACAATTGTCAAATGATGACATTTATATCACGATACGACGCGACGATGGACTTTCCCCATTGCCAGTCAACAAATATTTTATTGCCTTTTGAAGTTACCACACAGCTACTTCTTTGCTCACAATTAGCAAATAATAATACTATACTAAAAAACTATATCATTATATTGCACTTTCACTTCTTTAAATTTTATAAATTTCAGTTTTCCCTTAAAAAGAACAAAGTATAGTTCCATATTTCTATCTCTTTGCCTTCGTAGCTATTTTGATTACTCTCATTTCTTTATTTTGGCAGACAATCAAGAATTTTGAATATCCTTTCATGTGATTGGCGGAAACTTCTAATTATTTTTTTTTATGCCTGCCCTTGCAACCAATCAGCGCGCAACTCCACAATAAAGACGGACTCATCAGCAGCATGGCTGTCAGTATAAATTTGAAGCTTGGACAATGCGTTTCCTCTCGTCGCGTTGGTTTTTTTTGTTTGTGCAGTTTGTCGAAAATATTATCGTGTGTGATGTTGTGTGGCATAAAATATGGAAAGATTTGGGTGCAGTGACCTGATATCTGCCTTTTTGCACAGGGTAAGCGTTTGTCTATTAACATTAATTTAGAACTGATTAGGTAAAATTTCATTTCTGTTCTGGTTCTTCTGCACATTCAGCGTAATTGTGACAGTAGAAAATCAATCAGAATTTGCTACGTATGTGCTTTTCGTCACTGTTTAATTTCAGGCAATTCAAGGTCGCATGAAAGGTCTCGAGAGTTTTTGCAAGTGCAGTATTTGGATTAATCAATATGATAATGCTTGCACGGCCATATGTTAGCATGCGTGAAAGGGTGCTGTATTTTATCTATTTGTATACGATACCGTTAACTCGCATACAGAAAAATAACTATAAGATATTCTCGAAATTATTATTATGATTTTTACATTTTTAATTCCTCATGAATCCATTTTAATTCCCTGCGTCAAAGGTAGGTTAATTATAACTGTTTACGTTTTCGAAATACGTTTATCATTAAGATGCATTATTTTTTTAAGAAATTATGCATTTAGAACTTATGCACCAACACAACATAACTATTTATATATAACAAGCAGTATAAATAATAACCAAGATGTATAATTAAAGTCAAACAGTTTTTATTTAAATATTATTAAGTATTTTATAAATTGAACATCATTATTTCAATAGGTTACTTAGTAATCTCTGATATTTCTTTTTTTGAACCACAGACAAAACTTGAAATTATAATAAGTACTGTTATATATATTGCAACTAAGTAGGTGTAACTACTTAAATACTTTCCTTGATGTTACAAAAGCTATTTATTGATTTTAAACTCCATCCTGCTCTTTCATATCATACTGTTTTTATCTGCCATCAGATTTTTTTTGACAAATGTTTTATTATTTTATTCATTGTTCTATGAGAGTTTGTTGGGTACCAGTTTATAATTCAGACTAAAACTAAGTACAGGAAATATATAAGCTACAAAATTTGTTAATGTTAATATTTGTGATTTGTTCAATGAATTTTTCATTATGTAAACTGTAAGTATTTTAAACACTAATCACATAGAGTATTGCATGAAATTATTGTATAGTGCTAAATTGTAATTCAAAAGTGAGCTTAGTTTTTATATGTCCTGTCTGTTTGCTTTTACACTATGCAACAGATTTTAATGCAGTTTTTAGCAATAGATACAGTGATTCAAGGGGAAGGGTTTATATGTATAATACATGTACATCCATGCATTACAATACATGTACATAATACATGCATCCATTGAAGCCAAATAGCTGGTTACAAAGAAAGTAATGGCCACAGATGAAAAGGTTTAACTGAGACTTGTAGATACCATAGACAAAGCAGATTACACTGTAATGTTCACATTGCTAATTATATTGTAGCTTTGCAAAGCTGACTTGAAGAGATCCCTTGGCGGGATAAGTCTGTATTTGTGTTTCTTTATTAAATTATGTACTTTAAAGGTTTTGCAAAAGACATACAAAATGCAATCTAGTTTGATGCCAATGGTTAACATTATGATTGTATATATTGTAAATATAGTATTGTCATTACTTTCAATAACATTGAAAGAATGAAGAAAGCAGGGAAGTGTAAAGAGGAAACTGGGGAGGGTACTATATGATTTTACTAATAGATACTAATAGACACATTGGTGCTGTGCATGCTCATTGGTCAGAGGGGTGAATTGACCAATCAGAATCAGATTGTATTAACAGAACCCTTTTTCTGAGAGATTATATGCAGCGGGTGTAAGGCTTGCTTCTTCTTTTATTAGATGGACAAATTTTTTTATTGTTTTAATTAACTAGATTTTGTTAAATTGTTGCTCATTTACTTTTTTTTTTAACTTTAGTTATTGTTACAAATTATGTGTATATTGTACTACAGCTGTGTCTCTTGCAATGAATGATATTCAAATAAATGTATGAATTATATCTTCATGTTTGTTTACCAAATGTGATAATCATGATGAGTATATTTGAATTAAATATTGCAGAGGGTGAGCCCACTGCCATCTCTCTTATTAGATCATTGTAAATTTTATTAGTAAGCAATCCATAGTTTTTAGGTGTACTGCCTGCTCTGACGGTTTCCGCTAGTGGGGCACCAGTGGAGAATGATAAGATGAGCCCGAGCTCAGGTCAGTTAGTACATCGAGGTAAAATCACCATGTATTTATCACGATGATTTTCAAGGGAAATCATATGAAGGTCAACCTAACATGGTTTGTTACTCTACATTACTACCAATCCTCGTTCCCTAATCAATCATATTTGTTCACACAACGCACAACACACAATGCACACAACGCACAATGTTCGTGATAAAAATGCAGTTCAAAAATGTACTTTTTAAAACTAACTCTGACTGTACATTATGTGAAAAGGGGCTCCAGTCTTCTCAAATGGTACAGTGTAAGTGGGGGTTGATATTATGCCATTTTTGTTTTAAATAGGTAATTAAATATTCATGGCAAATATTACATTAATAAAATAAAGTAATTTTATTTATTTTACCCACAATAAATCGCGCAACTAGTTCGATAGGGTGGTCGAGACTGCTGTAACAAGTATAGGAAACTAATACTACTGTGTATGAAGATATATCACACGCTTAATGCAATACTGCAATAAGTCATAAGTAATAATTTTTTGGAACTAGACTGTACTATTACATTAAAGGTATAAACTTTAGAGTTGATTTCCCAAAATTTGCAATTTTTAAGTTAATGCAGTATTGCATTACGCTAGCTATATACATATTATGTACTTACATTACATAATAAGAAAACAGAGTCGGTAAAACTACGAATTTCGTAGTTTACATTTCATTCTTATCAGTTGGGTCGGAAAAGATAATATGTCCGTTATCATAAGAATAGCGACGGTGTAAGACGAAAGGCGCCGATGAATGTAGAAAAAACTACAACACTATGAAACACATAATATCACGCAATATATACATATATTTTTTGCAATAATAATAATGACATAGGACAATTCACACAACGCTATAGGACTATACTAAACCAAAGACTGTACTATACTATACATCTAATAGAAATACTTAAATATATTTTGCCGTAAATACATTCATAGTACTTAGAAAACGAAAATTTCCGCAGTGTCTCAAGACGAAGGTTTACGACCAATGTGTGTTGCCAGTGATGACTTACGGCACAGAGACGTGGTCGCTAACTATGGGCCCCATCAACAAGCTCAGAGTCACTCAGAGGGCTATGCTCGGAGTTACTCTGCGTGATCGAATCAGAAATGAGGAGATCCGCAGAAGAACCAGAGTGACATAGCCCGAAGAATTGCGACTCTGAAGTGGCAATGGGCAGGGCACATAGCTCGTAGGACAGATGGGTGTTGGGGCAGTAAAGTCCTCGAATGGCGACCACGGACCGGAAGACGCAGCGTGGGAAGGCCTCCAGCAAGGTGGACCGACGATCTGGTCAAGATCGCTGGAAGGCATTGGATGCGAGCAGCGCAGGACCGATCGTCGTGGAGATCTTTGGGGGAGGCCTATGTCCAGCAGTGGACGTCTTCCGAGTTGCGGTGATGATGACTTAGAAAACATCGAGTCTAATCAATCGTACTAATGAATACAACATTTTCTGTGCTCCGAAAATGAAACCCATGAACATCTAATCAAAAGTCTAGCGGTATGTTAAGTCGCTAGACCACCGAGTTCAACAATAGATCTTAGAAATACGTTTTCAGATCCCTTCTTTGTTGAAGGTTAGAAATTTTACAGACAAATACCATAAAACTTCTGTACTTGCACAAAATTCTTGCTCCATCCATTTAAAAATACTAAAAAATTAGCAAAACTAAAAATAATTACCAAGAAACATAATTCGAAGACAGAAAACATTTTTTGACTATCACGAAGTTTGCATGAATCTCAAAATGTAATTTTTCTTGATTACTTAATAGACAATTTTTTTTTCAATAAAGAAAAATTATAGAATAGGAAATCATTTATTCAAATTAATTTAATTTAAGCACTTTTGAAAAGTCATAGCTATGATTCTTTTAATCTACCGCTCATTCGGAAAGGTCTCTCATCACAAGAAGAACGAGCAAGAAACTTGAGTGTTGCTCTTTTAAATAATCATTGTATAATTATCAATGTTAATACTGTAAGATATGTGAAAGACCACTAACATTTACTTCCCACGGCCTACTCTGTACAGAACATGTCTTGAATATATTCAATGATCTATAGATCTGCCATCACAAATATTAGTCAACTTTTATGGACCAAGTTATAATTGTATTCAATTACATTACATTCAGTGTAATAAACTGCGAAATGAATTAGCTACATGACCTTCAGATTATGAAATATGTTACGTAATTAACACGATTAATGTTTATTTACTTTTTTACGCGTTGCTTATCTATTTAAACCTTTAGGTGTAATGTACTTTATCTATTTTGCTTTGCTACCTGAAAATCACATAATAGCGCACTTCATACCTAATAGTAATATAACGATTACGACGACGGAAGGGGATTGTTAGTAATGGGGACTAATAACAGGTTTACTTCCACGTGGTTCCCCCTGGAAACAATCGTGTCAAATTCCACGAATTTGCCACGAATTTTCCACGAGTTTGCAGACGGGTGCATTTCATTATATACATTTAAAATATATTTCACATTTTTATAAGAGGTAACTTACTCCAGTTATATTCTCAAGATGTTGTGTCTGACCTTAGTGTTGCCATCGACCACCTCAATACTGATCTTGATCATATTCGTAATTGGTCTTTGAGATTTATCGGTTCAATCACCTGTTGGATACTTGTGAAAAATAAATAGCAAAATAAATTCTTATAGTACATCGCGTGTGCTGCGGAAATTGACAATAGAGCAAAGGGGTGTACATGTGTCTTAAAATTTATATCTTTTTTTAAATAGCCGCATATATAGATATGATCGGGGCCTGCCACTAGTCTTCAATAATTTTATAACTAATTGTAATTTATTTGTTGCAGGAAATACTGTATGATCTGAGTTGATCAGAGACTCAAAAATGACATCGCGGTAAGTACTTTGCTCTTTAATTTGCTATGTTTTTTTAGTATGCTGCTTATACGCCTGCGCTATCGGTTTACGCTGGCAGGCCACCAGTGAAGGATGATAGGATGATCATGAGTTCAGGCCAGTTAGCCCGTCGTGATAAATTGACCAGGAATTTACCACGTTTCCAGGAAGAACATGGAGGTCAAACTGACATGGTACACATGGCTAGCAAGGGGGTCATTAGTCGACATTACTAACAATTCCTTTCCCCTCTAACTCGCTATGTTGTTCCTTGATTAGTGCTGCGTAGTCTTCCTCATTGTCTTATGTTAATTAGAGGTCACAATGGCAGAGCAAAGGGTAACGGTAGTATGGAGTTTAATGGAGCAAGGAAACAGAACACTAATAGTACTGTTACTTCCAGTGTAGGTACTTTTATAGACTTTATCCATAGTCATGATAAATTAAAAAAAAACATGGTATCTCCGGGTCTATTCTGGAGTCTTAATCTCAAAATTGTTATCAATCCAATCCAATTATGTAGTGTTCTTTTGAATGTTATCAGGACTAAATCGAATAAATCGGTGACAATTTGAGTTAGTTTTTTCATTGATCACGAAAAATGGAATTACTTAAATGTAAAGTAAAGTATGTAAAGGTACGAAACGGTGCATGGTAGAATGTAAACAGTCATCTGCGTGGAACCTCAGTGGGCAGTCTCAGCTGCTAAATATTCTAAATTAAATAATGGGTGAACACTGCAATTGATATAGGGGGCTCCCAATACTATAAAAGACGTAATGGAATAACTTGAAATAGTCATCCTCACTATAAAGTTCAAACTTGTGGCGGCGTGGTGGGCCAGGTCAATGTGCTCTTCTTAATATGGTTGAGTGCAATGATGGCTGGTTCATCCGCCGTACTTGTGAACGGGTGGTGCTTGAGGGGACTGATCTGTTCGGGTTAAGGCAATTGATTAAATTATTTCCTTTTGACAAATTGCACAGTGCAATAGCATATGCTGGTCTCTGCATTCTCCCAAATTTAATTTAAAATTGAATGTATTTTTTGTACTCATATACAAGCTCATTTGAGAAGAACAAGATCTGAGTGTCTTGTCAGTTCTTTTAACCCGAAAGTACTCCAAACTGACGGAAGATTTGACATATCATAAGAGTCTGTAATAGACCTACATGAATACAAACATTTTGACTTGACTGGGTTGTGGAGTACAATTAGGCACTGAAATTATAGAATAAGAGGCAATGAACGACCGGAATGTCCACATATAAGCATTCATCCGCATAGTCCGTATCGCTGTTCATGTATATTTTTCTAAATTTAAAATGATCTTAAAACTTGTATTGTATGTGTATAATAATAATTACTGCTCCTCAACCTAGAAGCTGACATTCACTAGGCTTCATAATATGACTATTTTAACCATTTTGGAAGTTTTCGGCAGAGAAATTGACGAAATTAGGCTATATCTCGGGGACTAATAGGCGACGGCAACCGCCTCAGGCCGACCGTCAGCTTGTTTGCGATTCTAGTTACATAAATTAGATATGAATTAATTTATCATAGACCGATTTATTTTTAGGACTTTATTATTTATTTTCTAAAGTAACCAGCCCCAGCTTTATGTAGTCTTCACTCTAAAATATTTAATATGAAATCTAATCCCAAGGTACTCGCTATAGCCCATACCATAGTTTATATTAAGTTTATGATATGTCCTATCTAGTTAGAAACTCTCCCACATATTTCTGTAGATCTAGACTATTGTTTCCGCAAATATTAAAAACTCGGACTAGAGTTAATGAGGTCTAATCCGTTTTTAAGACTTCTGTTACTGAGGTATATTAAGTCCACTGATATCCATTACTAACGATCCCCACCCTCCCCCAATATCGATCGTTGTAATTACTTAAATAACTTACTACAAATACAGATGTTTACGTTCCATATGCGCCACGTATCCACTCGCTGTAGGTCAAAATTGGACGCGACGTGGTAAACCTACTATACAATATAGTATTTTTATACCATTATTTACTAGTTGCAAACGTATAAGTGAAAGGATGGACAGTGGTCAGTGAAATGTAAATACGTTACCGGCACTATCTACAAGCCAGTGCGAGATAATGCTACATCTCGCTATATTCTCGACGTTTGTTCTAACGGTGCCAATGAAACTACTGGATGTCCGAAATTTCTTATAATGACTTCACGGTATAGGCGTTGTAGATAGATAAAATCTCTTTGTATTTGTTTTGTTTTCTCAGTACATTAGCATTTATTAAGTACTAGTATCCGGCGTTGCTCGTGTCCAATACTGCCTATGTTACTCGTTCACAGCATGGCTTTTTATATACTTTACTGTCTGACCCGCACAACTTCGTCTGCTTCACATTTATTTGACATTTATCATTATGTATCGCCCAACTTACATAATATATTTTTAAATTACATTCTATGTGTTATTCTAATGTATAAGCTATGTTACTGAAAAGTTTAATCAAAATCCATTCAGTACTTTTTGCGTGAAAGAGTAATAAACTTCCATCCATTCATTCATATCGCGTTTATATATATTGTAAGATTAACAAACAGCAATTATATGTATTCTAGTCATGTTTTGACATAAGGCGGAATGTGTGGGAAGTGTATTACCGATTCCGTAGCAATTGTGACCACATCATTTACACTACAAACTTTTTGTTTTAATAAATTTCATATTTTTTATATATAGGTTGGACCGTCTGTTCGTGCTACTCGAGGCAGGAGCGGGGGCGGCGACCAGACGGGCGGCCGCGAGACAACTAGGCGAAGTGCAAAAGGCGCATCCTGAGGAGTTATACCGACTCCTCGGGCGACTCATGAAGCATCTGCGCTCACAGGCCTGGGAGACGCGGGTTGCTGCTGCACAGGTAACTTTATAATAGACTAGTTAATTTTATAATAGACTAGCTCCATTTCGCGGCGCTACCCCCGTCGAATACTAGAGGTAGGCTGTAGAACAGTGTGTCCCAACATTTAAGACCATGCCCCACATTAGCCTTTCTAAATTTTTTATAGCGAAAAGGTTGAACTCGTGTCTAGTCGAGTCTTTTGCCACCCTTAAAAATCAAATTGCCCCCCTGTGGGGCGTGAGCTCCATTTTAGGAAACACTGCTGTAGAAAGTTCTCTCCAAGTCGGGGTAGTAAACCATTTGGCACGATGGTCTCTTTGGTCGGTCTTACATTATTCTTAGACGTGCGGCTCTGAGATTTTAGTAACGTTGTAAAAATACGAGTGGACTACGAATACGAATGTACAATCTTTTTTTTTTTTAAATCCTATAATTGATTTTGGGTTAGTAGTGCAAATTAAATATTAAATAAAAAAAAATATATAAGTTTGAACATTATTAAGATTCTATTATCAAAGACTACTTCTATAATCGCAGGAATTGGCAGTCTCACGGGCAATAAACAAAAGAGTAAATGTAAATACGATTTAAATTTTTTCATTGATTTAATGAATGATGAATGCATAAATAATTAAAAAAATATTAGCATTCTGTACTCCTTCTTCACGTATTAATACATAGATAAAATGGATCTCCTGTTAAATACATATTAATGTACATACGCTTTTCAACTTTTAATAGCATTAAAGGCATTTTAATTTATTATACTAAATATATCTAAAATCTTCTCTACTTGTAACCACATGTATGTTTAAAAATAATATAAAATTGTATTATATATAATATTTGAAATTATGCCACGGATAATTAACCAGATAAAATAACTTTTTGTATTCTGTCGGGTTGTTCTGATAAATCTGAAATTAGTATGATTATCTCGAAAACAAACTCATAAATTATAGCTATTTTATGTTCTATTTTTAATTCCATAACAATATTCTGAAATTGCAGAGTTCAGAGGCATGATACTTTAGTCCTTGAGAATGGCAACGCATGAGTGATACCACTGACATTAGATGATGTTTTTTTTTTAAAAAATGTTATTATGCATTTTCTTATTTCTTTACAAACAGACATTCAAATTTTATTTATATGTAGAGATGAGTACTTATATTTTGGCCAGATGTTCTCTCTTCAGGCGGTATTCATCATCACTTGTATCTAGAAGCTTTAAGGATAATTTGTTCGCTTGGTATTCAAGTTTGTGCTTGTACGTCTCACACAGTCGACTGATTTCCTGATTAATAGTTGGGTTTTCGATCTTACCTTACTTCATAGGACCCTCCACCAACCCATGGCCATTCCAACCTCTCGGTTTTACTGGCTGAATCTACGGGGAATGCGCGCTGAAAAGCACGCATTCTCTTGACCCCTACAAATTATTTCCACTCCTGTCCCCTCTGTCGCTTTCTCCCCCTTCTGGGGCAGCGTACGAAACATTCACGGCTTCGGTGCCGGGCAGCACTCCGTCTTCAGCAGCATCCTTCCTTCTTAAACGCGTACCACCGTCAGTCCTTTCATACTCGCTCCGCCTCCGGTGCCACTGATGCGCGAACTCCCGCAACCTCCTAAAATTCTCCTCCGTAGACACCAAGTCCGGGTAGTACACCGGACCCTCTCCTTCGCCTTCACCGTGACGTATCCCCTCCAGCAGCTTCCCCCTAAGGTCGGAATACAGCGAGCACTACCACACAACGTGGTGGAGGCCCTCTTCCGACTCCCCTCAACTGCAGCCGCTCGACTCGTAGTCTCATAGTATGCAGTCGCTTACCGAAACAGCTGTGTCCAGTCAGGATCTGTGACGTCTCGTAATCGGGTTCGACCCATGGAGACGCCAACCTAATAGCCACATCTGGAAAATATCGGTAGAGCTCTCTTCCATCCGCGGAGGAGTGCCATCGCTCCTGCCATTCCCTGACTACAGTGTCCCATACCACGCGTTTCCGTCTGCTCAACTCTGGCTTTGGCGCGGACTCGCGCTCTGCATCCATCCTGGCAGCACGGACTACCTCCAGGTCCGCAGGCAAGACCCACCCCCAATACTGGCAGCGCCGCCGTGCTCACGCTCCTGTACGGTTTCGTCAGGAGGATGAGAGATGGTCGCTGCAACCTCAATATTATACTACGTACGACATGGAGATTGATTCTCTCATGGCCATACTTCATAGGACCATTAGATGATGTGATATTCATGACTGATGAATGTGTTCTTGTTGCAGGCGATCGAAGCAATACTATCGAATGTTCCAGAATGGCGGCCAACACCGTTTGTAGGAAAAAAAGGTAGCGATAGCATATTATTTAAATATAATGTACTGAAGGAGTTCCTTACAGAAATGAAACTTTATAATGTTATCACTTCTGGGTTTTCGAGAGTAGTAGGGCATAAAATGGCGGTCTATGAACAGTGACTTGGACAAAAGGGCATTATACGAGCAGCCCTCGAAAGGAACGGACGACTTGTGTGCAGGTTTCTAATAATAAAGATTGTATTAGTACTCAATATGTATATAACTCAAAAGGCAACTTAATGCAGTCTGCCACGGTATACATATAATACCGTGATAGACTTTGCATAAAGTTGCGACGAAGATCTGTCTGTCTCATTTGTTTCTATCGCTGAACGGAATGCTATTTAAGCTGTTTTGCGATTGAAGGTACGACGGATACGACGGTGAAACTACAGAGTATCAAGGTGGTAATGGTAGTGGATAGTGTATGTGTATATAGGCAACTACTGGTACTTTCCATTAGGTTCTTTCTGACGAGTACATCTGTATTTTCGAGAAAGTGAGCCCAAAGTTGTGTCCCAAATGGTATACAACGCACATTGACGAATATATGATTTGGTACTTTATATGTATTATGTTTGTGTTGTTTATTGAATATTATTATATACATATATATCGTCTATTGCCTCGCCTTTAAGCCCATTATTCGGCGCAGTATGCTATCCTGTTCCACTGACTTACACACAATCCATCCATCTTTTCGGTCGTTCTCTTATTTCCACCCACCTTCATCTTATACATATAATATTAATTATATATTTGCATAGTTTTTTATATAATATAAATATATGTGCAATGCAAATGGAATTTCCTAACCATCGGGCTGCAAAGTTAGATTTGGGCGTACTATCAGATTAAAGTCGACTTATCTTAGTCGACTATGCATGATGTGCATTTAGACCAATATACGGTGGCTAAAGTTAGTATTATGTAATAATATGCATACAATGCGTTTTAGCTATTAAAGTTTCACGCATATCAGATTCATCCGGTAATTATAATAATATTTATAGTTTTTTATCGTGTAGGAACTTGTACGACCCACTTTAACGTTATAATGTATTGGGTATGTATGTATAGTATTAAGATTACAGTTGTTTTATCTCTCCCTGTTGTGCCAGAGTAAGGATTTAGTTTTCCTGCTTGCGCTAACGGTTTACGCTGGCGCGGCACCATTGGCGGTTGATAAGATGAGCATGACGTCAGGTCAGGTCACAATACTATACGCAACTATTACCACATTCAAGCTTGTATACTATTCAATTTACATAAAGAAAACATACCAGTTTCAAGCCTTGATTAAGAACATTTTTTTATTTCGAATTTACATATAGGCTATCTGTTCTAGCTCATTAATAACTTCGTAAGTCAAAATGTGACAAATGTATAGGATTTAGTTGCTATTTTTATCAAACTGCTTAAGTTAATATTCTAATTTAGAAGAGGAACGGGATTTTAGCAATGTTGACTGGAGGCCCCATTGCTAGCAATGTCAAGTTGACCTCTGCTTAATCAGCGTTCGGAAACTCCTGTCTGTGTTATTTCTAGTAAATTCGCCACGATGGACTAACTGACCTGATCTTATTCTCATTATGTCATCTTCCATTGGTTACGTTAGCGCTGTCGAAAGCACCATTTCATATTTAGTAAAAAAAACGAGCCAAGCACAGGTCCGATCTTGCATGGAGTATAGTTTCCACTTGTTGGATGGTTCCGCTCAGTGCCAACTTGACGCTCTAGACTCAATCGACAGGCGAGCTGGGAGACTCATCGCGGACGAATCACTTGTGGCTAAGAGGCTTCAAAGTCTTAATCACCGACGTAAAGTGGCTTGTTGTGATCTATAGGCTTCAATTTGGCGAATGTGCTCAAGAACTGCACAACCTCATTCCTCCAGCATCGTTCCATGAACGTAGAACAAGACGTAGAGAGCGACTCCACCCATGCACTGTTGACATCCCTGCTGCTCGAACCAACCGATTTGTATCATCTTTCCTTATCAGCAGCTAAAGAGTGGAAATCTCTACAAGCGTCTATTTTTCCTGCTTCTTACAACATTGGGTCTTTCAAGTCAAGAGTGAATAGGCACTATTTGAGTTTGCGTATAACGCCTTAGACCGCATCATCAGTTAACATCAGGTGAGATAGCGGTCAAACGCGCTCAAATTTTAATACTAAAAAAAACAGAATAAGGTACCTGTGACACAAGTGCATGTTTAACAAGCCCAGATCAAAATAACCGTACGACTCGAGTAGTCTCGACCTTGTCTGCCGTTTATTGTAACAATAGGTTAATAAAGTCCGATTCAATTTTAGATCGTGCACATATCTTCCTGCAGGCGGTCATACAAATTGAGTACATTGCTGCTGTTATTACTTGCCTCTTGAATGTTTTCGTATAGGTATCGACAGGATTAGACGTAAGGTCAAAAGACAAATAGAATAGAGTAAAAGGTATTACAAAACACATCACAACACATAAAAAATAGAATATTCACAGCAGCATATAAATTATTATAAACTGTAATAAAACAAATATAAATTTTGAGATCGTTACGTAAAAAAAAACAAATAAAATTTAATAAAAAAATATTTATTCATATAGGATTCATATTCCCTTCGGCCTCTCATGGACGTCATAATTTTTTGTCAGTATATCTACCGTCCAGTTCAGCTAGCTATTTCAGTACAAAAGTACTCTCAAGAAATTTAACTAGTACATTTATTTTGTTTTGTCGTTCAGTTAGACAGGTAGAATGATAGAAACTGTAATGAATCACATGGTGTACCTCCAGGTTTTGCTTTAGTTACAGGAGGTACAACTCCAGACGTATTTATTTACTTCTTAAGGAGATCGGCTATTTTCTTGTTTTATCATCCTTCTCTTGTGTACAAATCAGTGAAAAGATGAAAAAGGTAATTTTTTTCTGTTTTATCATACCACGATGTAGTACCAAGTTTAACAGAGCTTATGTTATAGGTACTAGATAACTGATAGAAATACTTGTTTTATTTTTTTGTAAATGCATATATAATATATATACATAGAAAACACTCAGACTAGAATAGAGAGACCAGGACAATTCACACAGCGCCATCTAGTCCCAAGCTAAGCAGAGCTTGTGTTATGGCTGGTGCTTAACTTGCAGAATATGCAATAGAGTAATTGTTCAGGCTGTTACATTACTACAATGTAATGGGATATCCTGACCGCCGATGTAGACTGCTAACTCAGCAGGCGGTATTGAATTACGAAAATATTCTTTGTTTGAGACCTATGTAGTTCGGGTCAAAATTCCTCACTGAAAGGTCACCATCATACCATTTACTATATTTTTACAGTTTGTTATGTTTTTTATGTCATAATAATTAGTTTTTAAATATTGAAATCTTATTTCTATTCTCGTCAATTGTCCTTGAAAATGTTTTTGTCTCGATTACATTTAAATGTTGAAAACAATAGTCGCGGCACATTAACTGCCCGGACGTCCTGTGTCGCGTGCTGTGATAATAGTAATCGTTACACGACTATTTGAACTGAAATATTTATAAAAATACTGATTTAAGATTTGGCTATTTATGTTAATTTAAAAGTAAAAAAATGTTTTACAATTGCAAGCAAGCTAACCTACTGATGATAAATGAAATCTGTCAACTTTGTACATGTATGACGGCCTCTGTGATCTAGCGGTTTAGCACACCGCCTTACTTCCGATGGTCGCGAGTTCGATTTCTCGCACGGCACAAACATTTGTATTCATGAGTATGATTGTGTGTATCGGTCTGGGTGTTTCCTATGTTTTTACGAAAAAATATATATTTATGTATTTGTATCAGTTATCTAGTACCCATAACAAAAGCTTTAGCTAGCTTAACTTAGGTCTAAATGGTGCTCTGTGAATTGTCCTGAGATTATTATTATTATATACATGAACAGCACCTCAGTCAGTGAGCAGCGATACAACAGCAAAAATACATAAACAATCCCCCTTCAGTCCTTATTACTAATAATCACCCCCTATTAAAGACAGTTATTAAACTAATACTGAATTTCAGAGACAGAAGAGAAACCAGATCCGGAGGACAACGGACGGCTGCGATGCGAGACCTTCGATATAGAGAAGGTGCTAAAGAACGGTGCGCACCTGATGGGCTCCGAGGGTCACGAGTATGACATGGAAGAGGAAGCCTTGTCCGCTGCAGGTGATGATTTATTTCTCAACCAACTGGAAACCATCGTGGCTAATTCACCAGGGATTTGCTGCAGGGCTGCAGACCTGCCCTCATGCTCATCTTACCTTCCACTGGTGACCTGCCAGTGTATAGTAGTATAGTATATAGTGATATGGTGTACTTCTTAATTCGACTGTATTTTTCCTGTGTCAGTATTATTAAACTGATACTGATACTAACTCGCTATAATTGGAAGTACCTATTAGAATGTAGGAAAAAATCTTTTTTTTCTTGTTGTGACTAATTTTAAATATTCATTGAGGATAATAGCGTTGACTTGTTAGTCTACAAGTATAAGGAAAACCACTCTTTATCTCTCTTGAATTATAATAATACAACTATGCCATATAACAATTAATAAAATTGACGTGAAGATATTTTGATCATGTGGAAGGAGATTTTTTTTATTTATTTTTTTATTTTACGATATGTGCTAACATTAAAAATATACAAACGAAAAAAAGAATGATATAAAATTAACTATAAACAACGGTCTTATAGGACCCATTTTTCAAATACGACACACTCTATGAGGGTGGGGAGAGGAGGGGTCGCCAAGGTGACACTGTATGAGAGGGAAATTTCATGAAGACAGTTTTTTTTTTTTAAATATCGATGTATTTATATTAGTTGTCTAGTACCCATAATATAACCTCTCATTAGCTTTGGAATATATGGCGCTGTTTGAGTTGTCTATGGTTATTATGATTAATAAATCAACAACAATAAAAATATCAATTTTTTGCCATTGCCATAATGTTTTTGTGTGATCTGCAACAGATATGAAGGAGAGATTAGTGAAGCAACGTCAGCAGTTGAACTCCAGGTTGGGTCTGGACGTGGCTCAGCAGCTGGGTGTCGATCTCACGTCCGTGTATACCAATGAAGACCTGTGTCCCGTTAAGCCACAAACTAATAAGACTGAAACGCCTAGGGTAAGCTGGACCATATATTTGCTTACCTTGTGACGTAGGCAAAGAGAACTAAGCGTAGAAAAGACTGGGTGGATATGATTGTTTTACTTATTATACTATATATCTGACGACTTCAATGGCCTAGCGGTTTAGTGCACCGCTTCACTTCCAAGAGTCGCGGGTTCGAATCCTCACACAGTGCAAAGATTTATGTTAATGAGTATGATTGTTTATATCTGTCTGAGTGTTTTCTATGTGTATGTATGTATTTACAAAAAAATCTAAGTATTATTATTAGTTGTCCAGTACCCATAACATTAAGCTCTGCTTAGATTGTTACTAGAAGGCGTTGTGTGAGTTGTCCAAGGAGATTATTTTTAAGTATTATCTACGTATAATATTTTCCTCACTCAAGATGCCTATAAGAAACTGCTGTCATTGCAAAACTATTTGTTTTCAGTATATAAATAAATGTAAGAGGCTTCTATCCTTATGTATAACTTCTGCTACTGATTATGGTACTATATAAATATTAATAATTATACATGGAAAAGTGTATTTGTCTTGACAAAGGGGGTGGTGGTTGAGGTAAATTAAAAATAGATACAATATAAATTTATACACACAATAGCTACGAATTATAACAATGATTTTAGTTAAAAGATAAATACATTTTTATTTCTTTGAATCAACACCAAAATTTAGAGGTTTTTGATTTAGTTCTGTTTTTCTATGTATGGTATTTAAAATACAAATCTTAGATCTGAGATTGAGCATTTTTATGCAGTATATTTATATATCATATTTTTTTTAACTGGAGTGGCAATGGGCACATATCTCGTATGACAGATGGCTGTTGGGGTAGTAAAGTCCTCGGGAGGCGACCGTGGACCGCAGTGTGAGAAGGGTGGGCCGATAAGGTGGACCGACGATATGATCAAGATCGCTGGAAAGCGTTGGTTGCGAGCGGCGCAGGACTTATCGTCGTAGAGATTTTTGGGGATGGCCTTTGTTCAGCAGTGGACGTCTTCAGAGCTGAAATGATGATGATGACGATGATGATATTTTTAAAGCGATATACGAAATGTAGCAATTGGGACTCTACATAGTTCGTATACTTTATTTCTTTTATGCTCACTATCTTAAGATATATCTATATTTCCCCCCACAGAGGCCAGTACAAGAACTAGTCCCGACCGTGTCATCTAAAACATTAAGTTCCCGTGAGATGAACCTCGCGAAGCGGAAAGCGCGAGCGGCGTTCAGCAAACAGAAGTCGAGAGACTGCGAGGACGGGACGTCGGCGCCGCCCACACCGCCCGTAGAGCCCGATAGAAAGAAAATCAAATTGGAACCACCCGATGAGTTTGTTTGTGAGTTTTATCTAATATATAAAATTCTTGTGTCACAGTTGTCATAAATTTCCGAAACGTCTTCACCGATTTTTATGAAATTTTATATATGTATTAAGTAGGTATAAGAATAGGTTTATAACCCAAAGTATTAAAGGTTCCTCATCCCAAAAAAAAACGTATTTTCGACAATTTATTTTATTTTATTATGATTTCGAATCAATGACATCGAAAAATACATACAACCCTAAATTTTCAGCCTTCTATCACCAACCCCTATATTTTTAATACTGATTTTAATTTATAAGGCAACAACGTTTGCCGGATCGGCTAGTTATATACATATATATTTATGTAATTGAAAGTGTAGTTTCTGGAAAAACGTACAGTGGAGGACGTGCATTTGGATTGGTGGGAATGTATGAACTGTATGTAAGAGCTTGATTTACGTGCGCAGTGGAGGGGAGTGCGTGCGTGCCGGAGCGTTCGGGCGCGTGGGCGGGAGAATGCTCGCGCTGGCCGCTGGAGGCGTGGAGTTGCGCGCTGCAGGCGCAGCTGTTCGGTGCGGCCTGGGAGGCTCGCCACGGAGCTGCGAGCGCGTTACGTGAACTGCTGCGTGCGCGAGTATCCGCCGGCGCGGGCATGCACGCGCACATGACTGAGCAACAGGTGATCATTTCTACATGTCTAGAGTGTTTGGAAACTTTGAACAAACATTTGCATGTTGTCATACCTTGTCCGTTTTTAAACGCATAAGTGAAGATTCATTCTATTGTTATCTCACATTGTTTGTATCCGTATTATAAATGTGAAAGTAGGTCTGTCATTCTAGTTGTTTGTTAACTTTGCCCGACTAGACAACTCGATAAAATCTAGTTTATTATTATTAATCATTGCAATGGATTTTTATACAGTTTTTTACAAGTATGATTTTATTTACTAGGTCTTAATGGAGTTCTTTAAAGTGAAATTTAAAGAGGTTTTATTTATAGATGGAAGACGCTCATCAAGAATGGCTGGAGGATATGGCGCTTAGGTTATTATGCGTACTCGCATTAGACAGATTTGGCGACTTTGTATCTGATCAGGTTTGTTTTTATTGGATTTATAATATTTTAAAAAGAATATTTGAAATAGTGTGTTGTTAAATAATTTTAAAACATTTATTGTGATTGGAGCGGGCATTTATTTATAAAAAAAATCAAAATATACAATATTAAAAAAAAAAATTAATAGGTTGCCAAAAACAGTTGTCATATAGGAAAAATATATATAGAAAGGCATATAGGGATTATGCCTCTGGTAATACTAAGCAGCACTTAGAAACCTAGACTTTCACCCCCAAGTACCAGTGAGTTAGTGTACTCTATTCTGTACGGGATATCACCAGGTGGTGGCGCCAGTGCGGGAGACGTGCGCGCAGACACTGGGCGTAGCGTTGGCGCACATGCGGGCCGAGCGCGTGCGGCTGGTGGCCGCGCTGCTGGCCGCGCTCTCACGACAGCCGCAGTGGGAGGCTCGCCACGGGGCGCTGCTCGGCTACAAGTACCTGCTCGCCGCGCGGGAGGTATGTACTGGTGTGATGTGAAGCTGCATGGGAGGTTGTAAAATCTGAAATATAAGCTAGTGAAAACTGTTTATTAATTATAAGAAAGCCATGGTTATACTATATATGTTAACACAATTTATAAAACAAACTTCAGGCTTTTGCAAACAACAACAGAATAATGATGTTAAATTCGACTTCATTGCGCAACACAAGATTATAAAGGTTGAAAACTTCTTTATTTCTATATTTTGATTCTTCAAATGACTTTGCAGGTGACTGTAACTGTATGGTTTATTGTCGCCCATTCTTGTTGAGTTATATCGATCAATGGTCAGTCATTATCAGCTAAAGAAATCTGTCGAGTGTACCAAACATTCAGTCCTTCGAGCCGGATTGGATAATAATTAAAGCAAGTAGCATATAAAGTTTGTCGGGTGATGGCAGGAGGAGGCGATGTCGTGCGGCGCGCTGGAGGTGGTGCGCGGCGCGCTGGCGGACGGCGCGGAGGACGTGTCGGCGGTGGCGGCCGCCGCGCTCGTGCCGGCCGCCGGCGCGCTCGCCGCCTGCGGGCCCGCGCACGTCGCCGCCGTCGTCGCCAGGCTCTGGCAGCTGCTGCACGACCAGGTGTGTGTCCCTCACAGTGTACACGGCGCGGAGGACGTGTCGGCGGTGGCGGCCGCCGCGCTCGTGCCGGCCGCCGGCGCGCTCGCCGCCTGCGGGCCCGCGCACGTCGCCGCCGTCGTCGCCAGGCTCTGGCAGCTGCTGCACGACCAGGTGTGTGTCCCTCACAGTGTACACGGCGCGGAGGACGTGTCGGCGGTGGCGGCCGCCGCGCTCGTGCCGGCCGCCGGCGCGCTCGCCGCCTGCGGGCCCGCGCACGTCGCCGCCGTCGTCGCCAGGCTCTGGCAGCTGCTGCACGACCAGGTGTGTGTCCCTCACAGTGTACACGGCGCGGAGGACGTGTCGGCGGTGGCGGCCGCCGCGCTCGTGCCGGCCGCCGGCGCGCTCGCCGCCTGCGGGCCCGCGCACGTCGCCGCCGTCGTCGCCAGGCTCTGGCAGCTGCTGCACGACCAGGTGTGTGTCCCTCACAGTGTACACGGCGCGGAGGACGTGTCGGCGGTGGCGGCCGCCGCGCTCGTGCCGGCCGCCGGCGCGCTCGCCGCCTGCGGGCCCGCGCACGTCGCCGCCGTCGTCGCCAGGCTCTGGCAGCTGCTGCACGACCAGGTGTGTGTCCCTCACAGTGTACACGGCGCGGAGGACGTGTCGGCGGTGGCGGCCGCCGCGCTCGTGCCGGCCGCCGGCGCGCTCGCCGCCTGCGGGCCCGCGCACGTCGCCGCCGTCGTCGCCAGGCTCTGGCAGCTGCTGCACGACCAGGTGTGTGTCCCTCACAGTGTACACGGCGCGGAGGACGTGTCGGCGGTGGCGGCCGCCGCGCTCGTGCCGGCCGCCGGCGCGCTCGCCGCCTGCGGGCCCGCGCACGTCGCCGCCGTCGTCGCCAGGCTCTGGCAGCTGCTGCACGACCAGGTGTGTGTGTCCCTCACAGTGTACACGGCGCGGAGGACGTGTCGGCGGTGGCGGCCGCCGCGCTCGTGCCGGCCGCCGGCGCGCTCGCCGCCTGCGGGCCCGCGCACGTCGCCGCCGTCGTCGCCAGGCTCTGGCAGCTGCTGCACGACCAGGTGTGTGTCCCTCACAGTGTACACGGCGCGGAGGACGTGTCGGCGGTGGCGGCCGCCGCGCTCGTGCCGGCCGCCGGCGCGCTCGCCGCCTGCGGGCCCGCGCACGTCGCCGCCGTCGTCGCCAGGCTCTGGCAGCTGCTGCACGACCAGGTGTGTGTCCCTCACAGTGTACACGGCGCGGAGGACGTGTCGGCGGTGGCGGCCGCCGCGCTCGTGCCGGCCGCCGGCGCGCTCGCCGCCTGCGGGCCCGCGCACGTCGCCGCCGTCGTCGCCAGGCTCTGGCAGCTGCTGCACGACCAGGTGTGTGTCCCTCACAGTGTACACGGCGCGGAGGACGTGTCGGCGGTGGCGGCCGCCGCGCTCGTGCCGGCCGCCGGCGCGCTCGCCGCCTGCGGGCCCGCGCACGTCGCCGCCGTCGTCGCCAGGCTCTGGCAGCTGCTGCACGACCAGGTGTGTGTCCCTCACAGTGTACACGGCGCGGAGGACGTGTCGGCGGTGGCGGCCGCCGCGCTCGTGCCGGCCGCCGGCGCGCTCGCCGCCTGCGGGCCCGCGCACGTCGCCGCCGTCGTCGCCAGGCTCTGGCAGCTGCTGCACGACCAGGTGTGTGTCCCTCACAGTGTACACGGCGCGGAGGACGTGTCGGCGGTGAACACTGACAGATGGCGTCCTAATTCACACTGTATACGTCACTAACAACTCGATCAATCGTCATGAAATTTGACATACATATGAACAATGTAATTCTAAAATTATTGACAAAGAACGTATTGCAAACACCGTAACGATCCTCTTTACAGTGATAGTAAGTGGTAACCGTTGCCTATGCCATGAACGGCACAAATGATATCACCTTATCATGCGACACCTCTAGTGTCACTTTTGCGTTGCCATTTTTTTGACGGTTTCAGTGGCCTAGCAATTTAGCACAATGGCTTTCTTCCGATCGTCGCGAGTTCGGCTCGGTCAAACATTTATTGTTTTTAGTGTTTTTTTTATTTATAATAAAAAAAATATATATATTATAATAAAAAAAATGTACTTGTGTAATTACATCAATTGTCTAGTACCCATAACACAAGGTCTACTTAACTTGGAACTAGATGGCGCTATATGGATTTGTCCTAATAGATATTGAGATATTATTCTGAAGAACAAATATGTCGTGCCTCGTATCCTGTAATTTCAGTCTAAAATGTATTTGTATTGTACCCAGGACGACCTAGCCGCGCCCGCAATGCAGTACCTGGCGCTACTTGCTGCGCTCGCGGCGTTGCCTCGAGCCGCCGCCGCTTTACAGTATGTTACAGCTACCCTTATGTTAAAAAAAAGCACAACTAATATTTGTAGTCATGTTTGCTACATGTACGTCCGTCGGAAAATAGTATTTTGTACATATTTTATTTCTTTAAACTTAATGCACAAATACAATATATAAATGTACGTATACGAACTTAACACCGAAGGGCGTTATCACATAATTTCAAAACGTAAAATTTGGTATTCCCTGTACAATTCTGTATAAAAATAGAATTGTAATTGGCAGCCTATAAATATGTGCGTTGCCATTTCGGTAAAATATAATAAACAAAGTAAAAGAACAAAATTTAAATTACCAGAGATTATAGAGGTATTGTATTTTTATTTAATAAAGATAATTTTAAACATGTCAAAAATAAAACTTACTTACTTAGACAAATTGACTTAAATTCCTATAAATCCTTTTTCAGTCCAATCGATCTATCGGACGTGCTCCCACGTCTTTGGCCGTATCTCGATCATTCCACCAGTTCAGTGAGGAAGGCAGCGCTTCAGACCCTATGCACTCTAACCAGACCACTCGTCATCACCGAAACCAAGAATGGCACCGAGACAAATGGCGACAGTGTAAATTCTGAACAGAACGGCGACGATGATAGTCAATATTTAATGTGGACCCCAGAACTACTGCAGGAGGCAATGAGACATATCTATCAGAGGGTTTTATTCGAGCACATACCTGAAATCCAAGATATAGCGGTGCAGGTAATCTTCATTGGTCAAAATTAGACTATAATGAATTTAAAGTATAAGTTTGGACATTATTAAGGTGTTAAATACATAGTAGAGTGTGTTTTTTTATTGATTTAATGTATTTTTCATGCATAATTTAAAATATTGGCATTCTGCACTCCTTCTCTGTATAAAATATAAGTGTGCAAAATTTAATACTCTGTCCGGGCAAATTTCGTATAGAGGAGTACAAAGTTTTTGCATAATTAAATATTTTTTAATGCAATATTATAAAAAAATATTCCTTATCACATAGGAATATAAAAAATAGATAGTAGTCCATTATCAGACCTACTGAATATGCATATGAAATTTCATAAAAATCGGTCTAGCCATTTCGGAGGAGTATGGTAACTAACATTGAGATACGAGAATTTTATATATAAGATGAATTTTAAAAATATTGTACAGGTGTGGGACAACCTGATGCAGCACGCGCGGCTGGGCGCGATCCTGGTGGCGGCGTGTCCGATGCTGGCCACGTGGCTGTGCCTCGCCATGCAGCCCGCCAGGCTGCCCGTCGAGCCCACTCTGCTGCTGCACGTCTCACCCAAGGTAGCCTTCGTCTGTTCATTTATGTGATATTTTATTATTTGTTTTGTTTGTGATTTTTTTCTTTGGTCAGGTGTTCAGAAGAATGTTAGGTGCTCGATTAATTTTATATTTTTAAAGATTATAAAAAATAGTTTATTGTGCGAATAAAAGTATAACATTAAAATGTATTAAATTGTGAATTAATAGGCTACGTGACGTCGAATCTGCTTGTCGAATTGGAATGACTCAACTCAATTTTCTGGTTAATTAAAGTTCGATCGATGTGTAGACACATTTATTTCGGATATCCATCCATATTATGTTAGTTAATTACAATATATATCCTTGTCTCTCATTTCATATATCTATGTCCACGTCCAGATCCACTGTGTCCACAGTAATGCAATGATGTCCAATCCCTGACATATTTGCTATAATGTTCTGGAGCCTGTATGCTATATTGTACTTAATACTTGTTAATACTTGTGAAAGATTTCTTTTTATCAAACCAAATTCAATCTTTATTCATGTGGCGTCTATTGCAGACTCTCATGAATTGTCAAATCTACTACTCACACATCTGTAAACGTTAATGACATCGGGCAATTTTTTGTGGACTCCCGCAATGTAGCTTAGTCTAGTCCTCAATACTTGCGTATGCCTACTACATATAATTTTTAGTTAGAAGTAGTTGTTTATGCTTCTCATATGTCCCGATTGAGTCTCGAAGCGTATACCCAAAACTGTTAAGTAAAAATATCTAAACTTTGGAACATAAGTTTATGTTGTAGCGTAAGAATTCACGATGTATTTTTGAATAAGTAATAAATGAAACTCATTTATCATAAATTTATTAATGCACGTGGCTTTAGAGATTATAGTAATCCGAGTTATAAATAAAATTTTATCGTTTGCTTGTTTATGTAATAAATAAAACATGTCTATCATAAATAAACATAAGCAACACGAAAGTTTGCGAGTCTTCATACGTTGATTTGGAAATATCGGTATGGTGTGTACAGGAGCGTCGCACGCGGACTACGTCACAAGGCACGGGCGGCGGCGGCGGCGCTGGAGCGGAAGCGGAAACGGAGGCGGAAGCGGCGCGCGTCTGCCCGCGCTGGGTGCTGGGCGGCGGTGACTCGCAGCCGGCCGCGCTGCGTGACCGCGGAGTGATGCGCGCGCGCACCCGCGCCGCACACCTGCTCGGTACGTACGGAGGCGGGAGCGGCGCGCGTCTGCCCGCGCTGGGTGCTGGGCGGCGGTGACTCGCAGCCGGCCGCGCTGCGTGACCGCGGAGTGATGCGCGCGCGCACCCGCGCCGCACACCTGCTCGGTACGTACGGAGGCGGGAGCGGCGCGCGTCTGCCCGCGCTGGGTGCTGGGCGGCGGTGACTCGCAGCCGGCCGCGCTGCGTGACCGCGAAGTGATGCGCGCGCGCACCCGCGCCGCACACCTGCTCGGTACGTACGGAGGCGGGAGCGGCGCGCGTCTGCCCGCGCTGGGTGCTGGGCGGCGGTGACTCGCAGCCGGCCGCGCTGCGTGACCGCGGAGTGATGCGCGCGCGCACCCGCGCCGCACACCTGCTCGGTACGTACGGAGGCGGGAGCGGCGCGCGTCTGCCCGCGCTGGGTGCTGGGCGGCGGTGACTCGCAGCCGGCCGCGCTGCGTGACCGCGAAGTGATGCGCGCGCGCACCCGCGCCGCACACCTGCTCGGTACGTACGGAGGCGGGAGCGGCGCGCGTCTGCCCGCGCTGGGTGCTGGGCGGCGGTGACTCGCAGCCGGCCGCGCTGCGTGACCGCGGAGTGATGCGCGCGCGCACCCGCGCCGCACACCTGCTCGGTACGTACGGAGGCGGGAGCGGCGCGCGTCTGCCCGCGCTGGGTGCTGGGCGGCGGTGACTCGCAGCCGGCCGCGCTGCGTGACCGCGGAGTGATGCGCGCGCGCACCCGCGCCGCACACCTGCTCGGTACGTACGGAGGCGGGAGCGGCGCGCGTCTGCCCGCGCTGGGTGCTGGGCGGCGGTGACTCGCAGCCGGCCGCGCTGCGTGACCGCGGAGTGATGCGCGCGCGCACCCGCGCCGCACACCTGCTCGGTACGTACGGAGGCGGGAGCGGCGCGCGTCTGCCCGCGCTGGGTGCTGGGCGGCGGTGACTCGCAGCCGGCCGCGCTGCGTGACCGCGGAGTGATGCGCGCGCGCACCCGCGCCGCACACCTGCTCGGTACGTACGGAGGCGGGAGCGGAAGCGGGAGCGGAGGCGGCGCGCGCCTGCCCGAGCGGAGGCGGCGCGCGCCTGCCCGAGCTAGGCGTCAAAGCCGGAAGACGAGTATTTTATTTATACTTCTCTAGTTAGGATGGTCTGTACTACATTATTGCTTAGAATACTTTTTACTGAATTAAAATGTACCTAGTTTGTAATACAGTTCATTTGTCAATTATTATTGTTTTATTATTAGTAGGAAACAAACGAACTTGGTGCTTATCTGGTGATAAGTGATTACCGCCGCCCATGAGCTCCCGCAGGGGAATTTAAGTGCGTTGCTGTCCTCATAAGAAGGAATATCTTTTCTTGAAGGTTTCAATATCATATCGGTTCGGAAAAAACCATTGCTGGAAAGTGATTCTCATTGTAGAATCACTTTAGTTTGTGCGTGGTAAAAAGTTTCTAAAAAAACGTACGCTAGAGAACCTCCAATCGTTCGGTTTCGATGGTATTCAGTGTATGTATTATGGTACGCCAATTAAAATGTGATTTCTATATCTTTATTTCCAATAAAAGTATTATTTCTTGTTGTAGGTTACCTCTCGTGCTACCTAGTCCAGCCGGCGCCTGGTATAGAGTACAAAGCTGAGGATGAGAGTCCTATAGACTGTTATGTTAAGGTATGATGGTATAATTACTCGAAATCTCAGTGTCTCAAAGAAAATTTGAATTTGGTCACCATTCCTTTTCTATAAATACATTTTTATTATTTTGTCAAATACAACTTTAGTCTCAGTTTACTGTTCGCCCCCAATTTAGGCCGTCGTAATTTCGATCCTTGACAGACGGCTTCGGTGGTCTAGTGGTTTAGCAACCGCCTTACGTCTGAAGATCGTAGGTTCGATTCCTCGCGCCTTAAAAACATTTGTATTCATGTTATATCGTTAAAAAAAATGTATATATATGTAGCTCTGGCTTTGATTTAGCTTGGGACTAGATGGCGCTGTGTGAAATGTCCTGAGATATTATTAAATACAACATGTACATCATTAAGTCGCCTAGAGTAGTGTAATGTGTCGTTATGGCAGGTGATGGTGGTGTACCTGCGGTCGGGCAGCGCGCTGCAGCGGCTGGTGGGCGGGCTGGTGGTGTCCGCGTGGGCGCGCCACCACCGCCGCCTGCGCCGCCCGCCCACACGCGGTCCCGCCCTCAATGGCAACCACCACACACAGGTATATATTTATATTACGTTTGTGTCCCTCTCTCACGTTCTCTCTTTCTCTCTCTCTCTATTGCCTTTTTAAAATAAAGATATAGGAGAATTACTTACTGAAATAAAATTCAGTTGTGTTTAAAAAGTTGGCTGTTGGCTGGCACTCAATTGGCACTACTCCACAATGTTTTTGAAGCGGAAGCGAAATGAATTTATAAGGTATCTTTCTAATTGATACGTTGCTGTTTCTATAAAAAAAATAATTATATGGTCCATGGTAAAAAAGTACCGAAGTTAGTCATTTAAATAGACGCATTCGGTAACAAAAACTAAAGATTATATTTAAAACGAAACCAAAAGGCGTCACATTACAGAGAATGGGGCTTAATCCCACTGTAGAAGCCCTAAGTAGAACTGCCGAAACTAAACCTTTCCGAATGTTTTCTTTCTCATCAGAAATACCATGAAGATGAAATAAAGGGGGGCTATAACTTTTTTATAAGATTTGTCATTTATATTAATTAATTTAAAGCATTTATTTATATAAATGGCGCGAACACATACCATGTCTATAATTTTTTATAAGATTTGTCATTCATTTATTTATATACTGTTCATTGCACAAAGTATATTACAGGAATAAAAAAGGCAGCCTTATCGCTTATGTTATTTCTAAATAATGTATTGTTTACAATTTCCACAGGAAAGTGATATGGAAGTGGATACCGCTAGTGTAGAGAATGGTGTATCGACACTAGCGCCCCCTCTACTGACCTCAACATTACACACGGCACTGAACCAAGCTCTCTACTACGACGAAGTCGCCTTAAACTGTAATAGGTAAGTAATTTATATTTTACACTAACTGATACGCGCAACTTTGTCTGCATCTCACTTACTTGAATCTTATCATTATATTTCACCCAATTTACATAATATCTTTTTCAATTATAAGCTATATTACTGTAATTGTAATAAATTAATAGTATTATATTTTTTACCTACTGAGCCGTGCAACTTTGTCTCCATCTGCCCAATTTACATAATATCTTAAATTATAGCCTATGTGTTACTGCGATGTATAAGCTATAAGAAGATATATTACTCTCATGTTTCATCAAAATCTGTGTATGTATTTGTCGGTTCTTTTTATACATTTTATATTATTATGTATAAAAATCAAAGACGCTTGTCTGTTGACATGTAAGTGTATGTTTTATTTTATAATGTTTTTTAAATATTTACCATATATTTCAAAAAAAGATTTTAAACAATCCATTCACTAAGATATTTTTACAAGACTCTATATAACGTACTCAATATGTCAATGAACGTAACTGGATTATTTATTAACATATAATAATAAAAATAGGATATTACAAGAGGCCCGCGATCTTCACGCGCTGATGAAACACTACAAGCTGCAAGTGGATAGTGAAGAATTCAACAACATATTTAGATTGGAACAGGTAAGTGATAGTATATCCTTAACATAGGTAATTGTAAGAAGTCGTCTGCGTATTATCTATTTATTACACTATACCATTTACTATTACTATTTTATTTAAGCTTAATGCCATATGGCATTCTCTACCAGCTAATCATTGGGTAAAAACAAAAATCGGTTGAAGGGCAGTGATAGAAACTTAGGTAAATATGTCTATACTAATAAATATTATGTATTACTATTTATTCTCCTATCACAGACAACAAACAGCTCGCTTTGTAGTAGGGTAGCTGTAGGATCATATTAAGCAGATAATTGTTGCAAATTTATGCGCTAACAATATGATGATGGATTGTAGAATGTCCATAAAGGCAGTGAGTTAGCTCATTGCCGAGGTACCATTATTAACAAGTAGTAACGAGATACGAATATTATGTACTCAATGTACTAGGCGGTCATGAACGATAAGTATTTGAAGCATAAATTCCTAGATTTGTTAGATTTTAGACGCCTGCGTGGTACATAAATATGGATTGTTTTCGAAATTGTTCGTTAATAAGTTCCGGAAAAAGTAAAATCATTTCGCTGCCCGAATTCTAGCGTTTGGCCAAAGCTTTGTCGTGTTCGAGATGAATGTCAAATGGAACGCCTGTGGCAGTCATTGACTCGACCAGACAGTGAGTGGAGGGCAGCCCACGAGAATATGCACACTATGTGAACAGAACCTCCACCTATATTCTCATATCTTGATACTTGTGTAAAACTTGCTCTCGTCCTCCCTCCCCACTGCCCACTGTTTGTATATAATATCCAGCATTTTGTATTAGGTGTCCAAGCTGACGACGGTGACGCAGCCGATGGTGGCTGCGATGAAGTTGAAACGCGTCGCTCAGACCCTGGAGGAGCGCCGCAAGAATCTCCAGTCATCAGTGGGACAGTGCTCCAGCGAGCAGAGCACCCTCAACGTCTCGTGAGTATGATATCTATACTTATTTTGTTATTATGAAAGAGTTGTTTGTTTCATCTTCATCACATTATGTTGAAATGTGCAAAGTCGATATGATAATCAAATTTAATTTCAATTTCCAATATTTCCAATCTTAACAAATTTAGATCCAAAGTGGAATTAATTTATGACGTGTTATTTAAAATAACCTATAATCAACTATATTTTTGGGACAATACAAGTTCTTCTTATTTTGTACTACGTGAACTGTTCATACAACATCAATGTATTCGATAAGATTCCTTTCCATAAAATTTATGCGGCGACTAGGCATTATAAAAATGAAGTACTAATGATAGAATCCTGTCTACAGTGTACAAGCCGCTTTAGCGGGTGCTTGTGCCAACCTCCATGCGCTGCCTGAGAAGTTAAACCCGGTGGTTCGTCCGCTGATGGAGAGCATCAAGCGGGAGTGCAGCGAGGAACTGCAGCAAAACTCAGCGGATACGCTGGCGGTGTTACTAGCGCAGCTGGTTCATAGGGAACCGTGTCCTAACAACAAAGTCCTTGTTAACCTGAAAGCATTCTTAAGGTAGGTCTTTTGACAAAGATTGATCATCATCAAAAGTTTTTATTAAAATTCGTAATTTTATTAAAGTTTGGATAGCATAACTATTAGTCACTGTTACGGTAATTAGTAACATTACCGTTACGGTACGTGTATATTTTTTAGTCTAATACTCTTTTCTAAACTGAGCAAGTCTTTGTGCGTACACTCTGTATAAATATGTAGTCATTGCGCGAGTATTACATCTGATATCACACAGGTGCGATCCAGAGTTTACGCCGCGCATCTCGCTGGAGAGCGCCGATGACGCGGAGTCTGGTGGCAGCGGTGACAGCGGCCCTGAGACCCGAAGCGATCCCCAGGCGCATAAGAACGACCACATTGCCGGTACGTACTGCACAACACTTTCTCAAATTATGATTTTTAATAATATTTCCTTCTACGTTTTACGAAATATCTGATTATGATGTATAACTATGTATATTATGTATTTATTTACAACAAAAATATCTATGTGTTTACATCAGTACTCTATTACTTATATCACAAGCACTGCTTAACTAGAGACTAAATCGCGCTGTGTAAATTGTCCTGAGATATTTTTAATTTAAAAATGATTTGTCTAATCCGACTCGAAGGACCAAACCATGTGTGATGATATTTGATGACGATATTTCTAAAGTTTGTAATGCTGATCCTGTGTTTGATTGTTGTCGGTTTTGATTGGATGGGTATCAATTAATTAGTAGAAAAAATATTACTGTATTTTTCTATGATGTTATTGGTTATTTTTTACTCTTACTAAATATATACTCATATTTATCCTACATACATCAAGTGGTAGTCCATATATGCCAATACAGCAATTCTAATAACAATAATTATAATTTCAATTAGTAAAAATAAATTTCAGTGTAAATATTTTAGCACAGAGTTTTACTATTCGATGCTAGTAGTAGGGCTAAATAAATAGAAGGCATCATTTATAGGTAATAATAGTAATGCATAACCTTATAATGATATTTCTTGTTCCAGTGGACAAATACTCGGGCATTCTGACGTTGTGGGAGCAGCAGCGGGCGGCGGAGCGATGGGCGCCTCGACGTGGTCGGCCGCCGGCCACGCCCGTCACGCCCGCCACGCCCACCACGCCCACCACGCCTACCACACCCTCCACACCGCACACCGCCGCCGCGCTCGCTCTCGAACACGTGTTCGCGCAGGAGGACGAGGTAACTTACACTCACTTGTCACAAAACTCGAGCCATCGTCGCCCCTTACCAGCAAATTTAGGTTAATTGAATTCATTCACTAGAAAAAGTATCCCATATTATGTAAAAGAAATGGAAAACAGGCTTATATGTTTTATTTTATTATCATCATGACTATTAACCCAGTTCGGGGTGGTCAGAAGTATCGTCATGGTGAATGTAATACTTGACATGTCCACACTAATATATATCTTATTTAATTTCGAAATGCAAAACTAACTCTCCCGAGCCTACCGCCGTCTTTAACATTAGTTTTGATTTGTTATTCAAACACACTCGTGTTTGAGTATTTCCTTTAGCGGAGAGGCAATTATAAACATTAATTATCACACATTTTTTTAATTACAGTAATTACTACTCATATTTGAACTTTGAGCTTTGGTATTGTATTATTTGGTGTAGAAAATCACAAATAAATAAAATTAACATATAACATCGTGTGATATATTTTTACAGGCCCGCAAACTACTTCGGATACAGCGCCGTGGTGCCACGCTGGCACTGGTCAGCCTGACAAAGTATTTCGGAAACGAATTGCCCGACAAGTTGCCGAAGCTGTGGGAATTCATCACCGAACCATTTGCCAAAGTGATGACAGATAGTGGTGATTATATTTCTGATGATTATTTTTGCTTTTTGTACATTTAATTTAAACTCGTGCAACTTCCTTTGCTTCGCGTGCATATCTTAATTGTCATTTCGAGATGTCTGAAGCGCTTTGCGTCATACAGAACTTTTGTTGCCATTTCAGTTGCAGAAGAAAAAATGTCCTTCGAGCCGGATAAAATTCTAATATAAGTCCGCCAAACGTGTTTCAGAGTGTTAGAAAAAACGATACATTATACGAACGAACGTCAATCGCTCAATTACGAATGTTCTCGCAGAGTTGGAGTCTCAGTCGGTGGAGGCGGCGGAGGAGCTGGTGTCGCAGCTGCAGGTATTCGAAGCGGTGTGCGCGCACGTGGACGACGCTTTATGGCAGCGGCTGCAGCAAGCACCTGCCGCGTGCTGTGCGCTGTCCCGCAGCGCTTACACCGCTGTGCGGCACATGGCGGCGCGTGCGCTCGCCGTCATGGCGGCCAGGGATGATGCCGCTGTTATGCACACCATCATGCAGGAGGTGAGAGATACAATAATACATCAATGATCTATATGACCCCGAAATCGTTGTTTTGCCATATCAATTAAAATTGCTATTAAAAAATAAGGGTTGCTGGTAGATGGGTGAAAATTTAAGGATGTATGTATTTTTTAATGCCACATCCAACGGTGGTGTCCACTTTGAGTCCAACTTTTTCCTGATGTCTTCCTAATATAGTATTTATACCTTTTAATTTGTCTGCCTATGCTTTTTATGTATACTCTTGGGTATCACTTTGTAACTTTTGGGTATACTCTTTGGTTTTTTGTCCATTTAAGTATTTTTTAAACATTTCTATTCAATTTTTTTTTTTAATTTTATTGTTCGTACATGTATATAGTAAGGTTGTGCGTGTGCGTGTGCAGCTAATCCCCGCGCTGTGCGAGTCGAGCGTGGAGCGCGTGCGGTGCGGCGCGGCGGAGGCGCTGGCGCGCGTGGTGGACGTGCTGCAGCTGCAGGTCGTGCCCTACATCGTGCTGCTGCTCGTGCCGCTACTAGGTCAGTATTATATTGTGACTAGTCTAATATCACTAATGATGCATTAACACATTATTATTTTGTATTAAATGAATGGAATTTGGAAAGCGGTGACGTTGTAACGAGCGCTTTTACATGTAGTTCAGGTCGGTAGTAACTGAAAACTACTGGTTTGTCTCCAACAGCAAACAATGTACCAAGTTACTACCTTTTTACGCTACTCTACACATATGAGGAAAGGCAATTAAAAAATTTAGCGATAATAAGTAAAAAAACGACAGATAGATTTTTACATCGACAGATACACATACGGATGTATGATACACATACGTATGTATTTGTGTATACTTTACAACACAACACAACGTATAAATTACAAAAAGAAACAAAGTATATAAAAAAAGAAAAGAAGAAACAAATATAATACACAAAAAAAAAACAATATAATATATTGTATCATACATCCGTATGTGTATCTGTCGATGTAAAAATCTATCTGTCGTAACACTACTTATTATTGCTAAAGCAAACTACCGCGGTTTGTTTCCGTGAGCACCGTACAATTAGCGGCAGTAGTGAGCGTATGCGTGTGCGTGTGCAGGGCGCATGAGCGACTCGTGCGCGGCGGCGCGCGTGATGTCGACGCGGTGCTTCGCGTCGCTGGTGCGGCTGGTGCCGCTGCAGGGCGCCGTGCGCGCGCCGCCGCTCTCCGCCGAGCTGCGCGCCAGGCGCCGCGCCGACCAGCGCTTCCTCGACAACCTGTTCGCGCCCGCCTCCATACCGGACTACCGCGTGCCCGTGCCGCTCGCCGCAGACCTGCGCTCCTACCAGCAGGTACCACACCCGCCGCCTCCCACACGCCCCCGACTACTACCGACCTCCTACCAGCAGGTACCACACCCGCCGCCTCCCACACGCCCCCGACTACTACCGACCTCCTACCAGCAGGTACTTCACACCCCCGTCGCCCCCACACTCCCCCGACTACCGTGTGCCTGTGCCGCTCGCCGCGGACTTGCGGTCCTACCAGCAGGTACCACACACCTCTCTGCCGTCACAAGTCGTATCCGTCAAGAAGAAATTGGCCTTCAGTTATTCCATAAGTTCTTCCTCGGGTTTGAAGTGCCATCTGCATTCGTACTTAACGATTGGTGAAATTATAAAATTAGAATAAAATCTTTGAAATAAAATCTTTTCTCTACAATTTACCAACGTGAATCAATAATTCGTCTAAATATATTGCCAGCAGCTGGTAGCATACGAAAGTTTTAATGAAAAAATTACATTTACTTTATTACAAAGTGCAATAAATTATAAATATATATATTTTATTACAGGCAGGGATCAATTGGCTGAGGTTCCTGTACGAATACCGGTTACACGGAGTGCTCTGCGACGACATGGGGCTGGGCAAGACCCTACAGTCCATAGTAGTGGTGGCGTCCTCACACTGGGAGCGAGCTCGAGATAAACTGCCAGCTCTACAGTCGCTAGTCGTTTGCCCCCCAACGCTTACAGGTACCGTAACACTGTTTTTAATAATCCTCTTCCTTAAATGTATAGAAAAAAAATGTATTTTGCTAAAGCAGAACTAATCTAGAAAAATTACTTTAGAATTCAGCAAGAGATACACTATCTGTTTATCCCTTGCTTAACTTTCTAAAAGTTTCTGTTACGGAAGATTATTTGCACATTCCCGTAACTCTGATAAAAGATTAACCACTAAGAAGGAACACCTTGGGGTTTTTAGTCGGTAAGAGTCTGGTAGTACCTGGGACGGGCGGATCTCCATAATCCCAAATTAAATAAAAGGATAAAAAATAAAGCTAATTAAATATTTTATTGTTGAAAAATAGTTTCATATTGTACAGTTTTTACGATTATTTTATTTAACCCTGTCTATAAAATACAACATTCTTTCAGAAAATACGATTACAATTTAGGTTAGTTTTCTTTTTTGAACTAACACCGTTGGACCTAGCATAATTCAATGTTTTTATTCCCTAAAAACCATCTTGAAATTTGTAAAAACTAATATTGAAATATCTATTTTTTTACAGGCCATTGGGTATTTGAAGTTAACAAATTCATTCCGTCGAAATTCCTGAAGCCTCTCCAATATGTCGGTCCACCGATCGAGCGCGAACGGCTCCGCGGGCACGTGAAGTTCTACAACCTCATTGTGGCGTCGTACGATATCGTCCGCAAGGATATAGAATTCTTCAGCAGCATTAAGTGGAACTACTGTATATTAGATGAGGGGCACGTCATCAAGAATGGAAAGACGAAGGCGTTCAAAGCAATAAAACAGATAGACGCAAACCATAGACTGATATTATCCGGTACTCCAATACAGGTCAGTGATTTTGGTATGCATTCGAGTTTCAATGGAAACAAACGTCCTTTGGGTGGATATGGATAGGATTTAAAAAAATAAAAGGAGTTATTTTTATTACTTTTAAGCCATTTCAAAGAAAGTCGCAGAACACTGCAATTTGCATTTTTTAAAAGAGGTCAGAAGTTAAAAAGTGGCGTTGTCAAAGAGGCTATTGTCACACCTGTAACACCGCGATCTGTATAGATCTATTGTGTTTGTCCTTTTTCAAAGTTCACTTATGATAAGTCAAATCTATCCACAATACTTGGAATAAAGATATTATTCATTTGAAAGTTTTGTGATGTAAATACTGTGCACAATACTTTAAATATATTTACTTTTTAATTCAAAGGTGTTTGTACCAAATGTGTCAAAATGTGTATTAAAATTTAATCAACATATCGTTATTTATATATCACATATACTTACAATAAGTGAAACTATCGCAGTACTTTAAAAATATGTATTTTTGATTTGAAAATTGTATGGTTTAAATACGGCGTGGGCGTCGGTGTCCGCAGAACAACGTGCTGGAGCTGTGGTCGCTGTTCGACTTCCTGATGCCGGGCCTGCTGGGCACGGAGCGGCAGTTCACCGCGCGGTACTCGCGGCCCATCCTCGCGGCCCGCGACCCGCGCGCCGCGCCGCACCACCTGCAGGCCGGCGCGCTCGCCTGCGAAGCGCTGCACAGGCAGGTCGGAGCCCTACTACGATTCTGTACCCTTCTATATACCCCTTATATCAGAATGTCGTCTCACTACGTAGGTGGCAAACGGCACACGATCCAACTGAAAATTTGATGTTCATGAGCGACTAAAATGTCCTACATGAATAAATGATTTTGAATTTGATGGTAAACGGTTAGCTTAGCGCGCTGCCGACTCTTCAGAAACCTTAATATATCGTTCTTGAAACACCCAATGTTGTAGTCTCTCGAGAAAAACAAATGTAACAGCTCGTCAACAGCAAATGTTTGATGTTCTAGGTGTTACCGTTCCTATTGCGTCGCGTAAAGGAGGACGTGCTGAAGGAACTCCCGCCCAAGATCACTCAGGACTACTACTGCGAGCTGAGCCCACTGCAGCGGCGGCTGTACGAGCACTTCTCGCGGGAGCACATGCCGCAGGGCATTACTAGTCACACGCACGTCTTCCAGGTTCGTAATAACATATCGCATAAATCATCAGAAATACATTTTTGTTTCAAGAAGAAAAAAAAACATCCATCTGTTCATTCTAAAAATTTCGTAGTAATGAATATTAGAGGAAATTGTGTGTGTTTTTTTTATTGGGAGTTATTTTATTATTACGTATTGCTTCCAGGCATTGCACTATCTACAAAACGTATGCAACCATCCGAAGTTAGTGCTGACGGCGGATCACCCGGAGGCGGCTAAGGTGGCGCAACAACTGGCTACGCAGCGGTCCAACTTAGACGATATCGAGCACTCGGCCAAATTGCCCGCACTCAAGTTAGTTTACAAAGATATATAAATCAAAAAGTGTTATAACGCAATTTAAGACACTCGCTCAGTTATCTTTACAAAAATACATAATTGAAGTGACTGTTTGTAACTTCAAATTAATAGCTTTTCACTAGATGCACATGAAAGTATATTCGATACATCGAAATGTATTTTTTTTAAATATAAAATATATTACTTTTTTTGTAGAAATATTTTATTTTATAAAAAAAAAAAGTTAGCACGCGGACGAAGTTGCATCATTTACATTGTAGTCATTTATGCTTATTAAAATGTGGTATATTGTTCAAATTGAAATACAAAAACAATACAATATATATATATGACATTTTAGTCACACAAAAAAATTATATTAATAGTTTTTTTTTTATTTTATGTAATATTTTTGTTACGCACATTTTAACGAGACGCTATCCACAGACAACTACTGCTGGACTGCGGTATCGGCATGGCGGTACCCGAGCCCGCTAGCGGAGTCTCGGCGATAGTGTCTCAGCACCGGGCGCTGGTGTTCTGCCAGCTGAAGAAGATGCTGGACATTGTGGAGAAAGACCTCCTGCAACGGCACCTGCCGGCCGTCACGTACCTGCGGCTGGACGGCAGCGTGCCGCCGCAGCAGCGGCACGCGATCGTGACCAGGTTCAATACGGACGTCTCCATCGATCTATTGCTGCTCACCACTGCGGTAAGGATACGTATATATTACGCGCCCCTTGATCGATCCCCCGTCCAATTCATATGAGGATCGACGTCCTGAGCCGAAGATCGAATCCCTAGCGGTGCCCTCAGACTAAACTCGTATCCGTCAGGCGGGTGTTAGCCTTCAGCAGCTCTATAAGTTTGGAGTGCTATCTGCACCCGCCGATTGAGTGAGTGTTCTGAGGAATTGTTTGTATTAATACCAGAATTACTATTTTATTTACGAGTGAACTTGTTTATTTGTTTACGAATGAACTCTTTTAGAATAACAAATTTCGACTTGTGAAATATTTTACAGAACTTGATATTGTGCATTTATTTAATTTATGTTTATTGTACCAGGTGGGTGGGCTAGGATTGAATTTGACGGGCGCGGATACAGTGATCTTCGTGGAGCACGACTGGAACCCAATGAAGGACCTGCAGGCGATGGACCGCGCCCACCGTATTGGACAGAAGAAGGTCGTCAACGTGTACCGGCTCATCACCAGGGACACGCTCGAGGAGAAGATCATGGGGTACGTAAACTACATATTTTGTAATCGTTAACTTCCTTATAAAATTCAAAATATATTTATTCATGTAGGTTATTATTACATTACAGACTCTTATGATATGTCAAATCTACCGTCAGTTCGGAATGATTTCGAGATGAGAAGAACTGACAAGACACACACTTTATAGTCATACCATATTAAAATTAAAATCACTGTGATATTACATAAAAAGGATATTTATTATGAGAATAACAATAAACTATGTGTTCCTGATACTTTAAAATCGAAATATTGGGATTTATGACTTTGCTTCATAATCAGATTTCCTCCATTTTGCAATGATAATTAATTTTACAAAAAGCCGTTAAAGCATTCACGTGCACGACGCGGAATGAGCAAGCTGACGCACGGTGCGGTTTTTCCAGTTCTCTTTATTTAATATCTGTCGCTTTCTTTGTGGCGACTTCTCAGGCCTATGTCTTGTTATTATTATACGGTATGCTCCTGATTGTGTTGTGATGATCCCGTTTATATAATATCTACAAATTGTAAAGAGCAATAAATAAGAAGTATAAATACCACTGGTATAACTAATACCAATAATGATCAAATTCAACGCACATTCTGTATGAGTACCTATTTAAGACGCCAAGCATCACACTTAGTAAGATGGGTGAGATAAGGTAACAGTTAAATATTACAGAGGTACGACATAATCCTCCGGAATGGGTAGATATTTCGGCTACAAGAACAACACGAGATCATGTGATATTGATCACATGATCTCGTGTTGTTCTTGTATATAGGCGACTTTTGTTACTTATAATGCTGGGCGCTCAATATTTCCAGCTCACTATTCCAGTCACATAAAAAATACATAATTATTAAAAAATATAATGTGTCTTTAACAGGTTACAAAAATTCAAGCTACTAACAGCAAACACGGTGATCAGCAGCGAAAACGCAGCCTTAGAAACAATGGGCACTGAACAGCTTCTAGACCTATTCCAGCTGTCCAATGGACAATCCAGCCAACCCCAGCCTGGGTCGTCCACAAGCAAGTCCATCCTCGATACACTGCCAGATCTGTGGGACGACAAACAATACGAGGAGGAATATGATATGTCAAACTTTATTAAAGGTCTCAACAAAATGGGCACATAATCATTAAGAGAAATGAGTATTATTAATACTTATAGCCAAAAGTAATGAACTGGTGTGACTTTTATGTCGTAATTAGACTATATGATAATAGAATTAAATAGTTGAATATAGAAGAATAGTCTATGTTCTATCTCACGATATAAATCGTGGTATCAAAACTATTCCATTTAATGTTCTGAAGTTCTGATATCTAAATCTGATTTCAGAATTCTTTATTTAAATTTTGAATAGTGAAATGTCGACCACCTCCACTCAATATTTACGTAAACTTGTGTTTAATAATTCTTAATTTAAATATTCACAAATTAGGTTTCGAATTGTCAAAATTTAATTTAAGTTTTGATAAATTCCGCGTTCAATCAGACATTTAAAACGTGGAATTGAAACAGAAATTAGAATTGTGAGTGCAGACGTCAAGAGGTGTTTTTTTGCAAATGCTGTAACTAAAGTTTTAGTAAACTTTAAATAGTGTTAGAAGTGTGCTCCTTAAACGGTCTACACACGACAATAATGTTAGGGGCAATGTCGGAGCAGTGTTGGAAAGCGCCCTAGCGAAATCAGCGCTGATTTTTCATAGTACGCACGCCGAACCTATTTTACCTCCATCACCACTGCTCCAATATTGTGCCTGAGTTTAGTGTCGGTTTTAGGCAGTTCGCGTATTAAATTACTGAATTTTGTAGTTTTATCTGTCATTTAATACATTAATTGGGACATATTTGAAAACTGCTCAGAACTCTTAATCTATATGATATACTAAAAAGAGGTATACATAATTATATATATTGTCGGCAATTTTATTTATTATACAAATCGTCGATGTAATATTGTTAAAATTCAAGAAATGCATTGATTTTATATATTTCGATTTATGTTACAATAAATTACAACTGCTCAGTTAACATCGCAACATAGAAATCTCTTAGTAAATGTACTAAGATATTTCCACGTTCTTCATTATTTGTTATATATATATACCAATTTTAAATGACTCGTTACTTGAAATCTGTGTGAAATCTATGACTATTAATAACCCTATAATGTCTATTAAAGTTATCCAGTTGTTTACATAATATAAATGAATGTTAATAACAAGAATTCGTTTATAACTAATTTATAAACAAATTGCAAAACCAGACAATGATATATTTTTGCAATGTTATTATTAAGAACATAACTAATCCATGTTATTCTTTCATAATAATGTATATTATGTAAAGAATTATATATTACAAATTACATAAATTATAGTACTCCATATTTTTATATCATAATACTAAATAATAGGTTCCTTCAGTAAGAAATACCTCAAATATTTGTTTGTTATTCTTAGTCTCGTACGTTTCAGTTAACTTATTATATTATTTAAGTGCGAAAGTCATTGTTTTAGTCATTTTGGTAGCGTTAGTATACGGCAATAGCGTTGTTTTTTTATGTGTAACATGCTATTTTGTACCTGCTCAAGTATATGAAAATAGCATATAACGAATATTTGTATTGGAATTAATGTAATCAATTTTTGTGCGTACGTAGTTTTTAGATAGTAGAAGTATTCTAACTTGTATGATTATTTTTTTTGTACTGTTTAAATGTCAAATTATTTATTGTTTACAAAAGTTCGCCTAAAAATTTTAATATTTAATTGATTGTATGTTTGTGTTATTGTAATTATTATTTGGATATAATAGATTTGAAATCTGTCCTATATGCGAATTACGTAAAATTATCCAGTACTATCTGGTTTAAAATATGATTTTGGATTAATGTCGTAGAGCTAAGATATTTGCAACATCACGCACGTTACGCTTTCTCTTATTTATTTCATTATGTTACTTTGAAGTGTGAACTTTCATTACTACCAAATAAAGCATGTTTTTTTAAATGTCGTTTTCTTGTTATTCTTATAACATTTATCCCATAGAAATTGCATAGTCAAATTTACAAAAAAATTTACAAAATCAGATCAGTAATTCGGTTGGTCACTTTAAGGCAACTAGAGAGCCAAATGGTTACAGTTATGTATTTGAATATTACAAACTTTTTGTTGTTATATTGTTACATTGTCAACAAACAATATATATTACATTAGAAATGTTTTTACTTAAAGGTTTAACAATATTTTTAGGGGGCTAAGAAACTAAAAATAATTTTAGACAGATGAATGTTGCCACCTTTTTTGGGCTACATTTAGCTCCTGGAATGACCCCAACAACCCAAAAGAGAAGTTTATGCAAATCTTCGTGAAGGTGGCGCCACTACGTTAAAACGTAAACAAACCTGTAGAGTACTGAAGACTACTAAAAAATTAAAAAAAACTTTATACAAATTTTGTGATTTAAAAACACAACACAATAGTGTTTTTTTTATTACACTGAACTTATGCATGAAACGTCATTGAATGATGACGTGATTAAATAAATTGTTTTAAAATTAATAGCGTTTTAGTAATCAACGTAACATCTGATCCTGACTTTCAATTTCTACTAATATAATAATCTTATTCAAATCTGCTAATATTATTAAAATATTTAATTTTACACATAAATGCGATTTTATTCGAAAGTGAATTGGCAACACTGATCAACACCATGGCGAAACCAATGTCAGTTCTGTGAATATATTTTTGTTTTCTATTGTGAAAACCTTGTTTTCAGTTCGTTTGTATGTTAACAGACTTAATAAGAAGTTATATCAAGTGTTAATATTTTCTCTGGTTTTGATACTCTTTGTTTAAAGTTGCAAGTTTAATGTGTGAAGTTGTAACGAACTCTGGGATTACTCGGGAATTCAGGTGTCAACGAGGTAAGAAAACCAAGCACAATTCAATATTAAGGCTTCTAAAATTAACGCCTGCGAAACTAACTTGTGATTTTTCACTTATGAAGTTTTTAGTTAGGTTGGCGCCTTCGTGTTAAAATAGTACCAAATGTTCGGGTAATAGTTATAAATAATTCACGATCATGGAAAGGTTATGATTTAGTGTCTACGGTTGTTATAGCTGTAATCCTAGTAATTATTTAAACATAATTTAAAATACTTAATAATAGTTGCAAGGAAAAGTCACGTGTATCTCTAAAAAATAAGTTTTAAAGTTTCAAAAGTTTTAATTGCTACCCAACACAACACTGTCATCACACTGTTTTGTTTGAGTATTTTTTTTAAACTAACTTTCTATAGGTGAAGGAATAAGTTTCGAATGCATACTTTTTAAACTTTTATTACTTTTTGAATTATCATAGACTTTATCTTTTTGTTTTTAGATTGTATTAAAATATTATATAATAGTAATTTTTTACATAGTTGACTGGTAGTGGTAATATTGTAGGGCTGTTGTATAGGTATTAAATTTAATGTGTCATACTAATATTATGGAATTTCTATATTATTTGAGAATCAACAATAAAACTGAATTCATTAGTACTGAATGATGATTTAAAATTTGGCATTTGTTTACTTTGTTTTACTGTATTTGTAACTAAATTTTACTTTATGATTTATTTATGCTATTGAAGTGCATAGTAAAGTATTAAATATAAACACATATAAACTACTGAAGATTATTTATTTCATATTTTGCTTTTTAAGATTATAAATATTTTGTTATTAGAAATTTTAATTATAAAATTTTACAAAATTATTTTCATTGTTTAGTAAGACCTTAATTGCAAATAGTTCACAATCATTTTAATTTATTACAGCAAATTCTGCAGGTTTTTAATTAAATTAAATTTTTAGTAGTATAGGTGTAGTAACATTGCATTTACTTTTTAGCACTGCCAAGTTTCTAAAGTGTTTTGTTTGTCTAAAATGGAAATGCTATAGTCTATCTTACATAGCATAGTTATTTAGAAATTCTTTGCAACCATAAAGGAGAACAGTAATTAATGAAATTATTACACAAAAAAATATTATCCAAAACTCTTAATTACCTGATACTATCACCCTATACTGACTTTGTTCATGTTATGGATTACATTTAAAAAATTGATCTGTAAAAATGAACATTTCAAAAACTGAATTTTTTTTATTAAATAGCTGTAGCTATTTTAAAAAAAAAATCATGTTTCATTGACTATTCTCCACATGCACACCAAACCTCAAAATTAATTATTTATGTAATATTAGTATAGACATTATTCAAAACAATGCACTATTCTCAAATAATATTATAGCTAATTCTAAAAAAAATATTTTATTATAATAAACAAATATTAAAGATTCTAAAAAGAGAATATGAAGATATAAAAAGGCAGAATTTTAACATTCATGAAGTTAATTATACATTTAATGTAATTGTAAATTTTCTACTATTCTTATCAAAATAGCAATTTATTCAAACTCAAAATCATTTATTCATGTAGCGGTAATATTAAGTAATTTATTCATATAATTATAACAGTTTACACCATGTGTCTCAGAATAATTAGCAATTTATTGCTACTTGACAGTAATATAAGTGATATCTACATCTTTTTATCACTTATATTACTGTCCAGTTGTTCATTTAAGGGACAAAATCTATCAAGTTACCCTAAATTGTTAAAAAAGAGTATGTAATTTATTCTAGTGGCACAGATTGTGAGATGATATTACTCTGTACTTTACAATACAGCTCGGGCTATTTTTAGCCTCTTTTAACCCTCAATTTGCATAGGACTTTATTTTTTATATTTTGTATCCAAAACCAGAGGGCTTCTAGCTAGTAAGATGTATTAGAGCTATTTTTGAAATGAGAATGAATTAAAAATATACATAAATTATGCAAAAGTTACTTTCTCAAAAGTATAGTTTGTGATCCTTTGTAAATGACCTCATTTTACAGATTTTATTTTTTTTGAATACAGGTATCTTCGTACAATGAGTGAAGAGTAACGAAGTATTAAAAAATATTTTGTTCACTGTATATGTATGTAAAAAAATCTTGAATCAATTTACCTTTTGAATTTTTTATAATAAATTTAATTTATTTACTTCTCATATAATACATGATAGGTCTTATTAGTAAAAATAGCACATAAGATATGTGATAATCCATAGGGACACCACATCTACATTATTGTAAATTATATTAGAATTGCATCGTAACAAATAGTTTGTTTAAATTAAATATAATTAATTTATACAAATTTAATTATGAATTTTTTAATTAACTTGTCCACTAACAACAAATATGATTAATTTACCACAGAACCGCGGAAATCATAAAGAATACACGCAAATAAAGAAAACGATAACGTAAACAAAGGGGAGGCACACAACACAATAAAAAAGTAGATGTGTAATCAATCCCTGGGCTAGGTATCTTTTTTTAAAAGAGAGGTTTGCAACAATCAATTCCCTTTGTGCGCGACATCAATGGGACCGGTTGGTGTGTACCTAGCTTTGATCTCGCCGCCCTCTGAAGACGCGACAGTGCGCTAATACCGGCCCCGCGGGGAATAAAGTCGTAACCGCCGCTTTAAACTTTGTATTAAACTTGGTAAGGACAGGACACTCGTTTATTATTAAAATGTCATGCTACTGTCATTATTCTCTTTATTTAAAAAGTACCATGGGAATAATAATGGTATTGTTTGTTTCTATGCAATTTTATTAAAGCAGTAACCTGCCTTTGTGTCGTTTGTAACAATTATTTTGTGAAAAATAAAAGTAATTGAGCGACATAGTTTTTATGAAAGTTTTTGTTTTTGTTTGTAGGTTACTTTTTTTTATTGGATATAAAGTCGATCTATGTCTGTTTGTTTTGACGAGAAAAACCTGAAATTTATGGATATAAGCTTTTGTGGATATTCGCATTTTCTAGTAGTAGGCAGAGAGAGCTCTGCCAACTATTAGAAAGAGAAGAAGACATTCCTAGATTAATTTACTTTCATATCCGACAGTATGCACCGACATATAACCTATACAGTAAATAATAAAATTCAGTTTAAAAATAATATCGTGTACGTTAACCAAATACATTAATATTCGAATTCGAAGCCAATTGTTTTTTCGCAAAATAAACCCCTTCCTTAATTATTATTAAGCATATAATGTTTTTTAATATGTATAGGTATTAACGGAGGCCGGTTTATACTTTATATGCAATATATAAAGATCGTAATAAGTAATATAAATGCAGTTATGCATCAAAAATGCATAAGATATGCATAAAAATGTCATTGCGCAAATACCGAATAATTAATAAACACAGTCCTTTATCTCTGTCGTTTATTTGTTTATGAAAATTACAATACAGTTATTATACAATGAACCATGCACTTCGTCTCTAATGGAGCCCCTGTCACATTCAAACGTAGATCGAAGTCACGACTATCGGAGCAAAGGTTCGAACCCCTAGTGAATCATATTCGCTAAGCAGGAGTTGGCCTCCAGCCCGACCTCATGTACGGACTGGAGACCTAGAGGAACTTCCGCGGGTTTGGAATGCCGTCTCACTTTCTCCCCTTTTTTGTCGGTTGTTCGGACGGGAGTCTATAAAAGAATTACCAGACGATATTAGCTATTAGGTATAGATCAATAATATAATTGTAATATAATATATAAATAAAATATTTTATTAGAAATAATATTTGAAATTTTGCTCGATTATAAAACTTTAATTCCAAAATATACTTTTTTTAAATTTGTCGCGGTCAGTAATTATACGTAAATTAGGTAAATCACGAGATCTTACCTTGATAAAAATAAATGAAAAGTGGTAAAACGTCGTGATTGTCGTAATTTTCCGTATTAATTCGAAATGTAATATTATTAATAAATAACTATTTAGAATTTTTATGAGCATTAATATATTACATGTATACAATTATTAAATATCACATCTAATATTAATAATTGTGGCTAATCTTAAAACAGAAACAAGGACGTGTTTTTTATAATAATTATATAAATCGGCATGAAGTTCTACTTAAATAATAGTGTGAAAATATGCATTATCATCAGTATTCAGTAAAAATATGCAATGACAAGTAAAAAGGGGCTAAATATGCAAATGCATATGCAACATGTAAATAATCCTGGCTCTAGTATTAACTATCTATGCCCTCGCATCTCTATTGGTTCTTACAACATTTCAGTGACTCAATAGAATGGTTTCGAGGGTCGCACCAGCGCTGTAGCGTATAGCTTTGTCATTTCGAGTGGAATCTCTTCTACTTACCAATCATAAGTGGACTTAGGTCAAGTATTTCCTACTAATACCCCTGTGGCCTATTGTCGTCTTGTTTGGAACAAAGGCGATTCTGTCAGAGGGGCCATTAAGCAGACCTTTGACTTCTTAACGAGACGGCCCGTCTTGTTTGTTACGTTACGTTACCAGTAGTTAGTGTAAAAAACAATCCAAGACGGTGTAAAAGGAGTTATTGCTATTGTTCCGTAGTTTTTAATGTCTAATTTAGTTACCGTATTATTTTGAGTGTTATGTAGAATTTTTGTATTACTCAAAGGGTAGACGAGTTAATTTCCTACCTAATGGAAGGGAACTATCGCCTGTAGATACAAAATCTACGAATCATTTCTGCCGCTACTTGCAGTCATATCATATCTAGATCGTACAGTTCCGAATTAAATACAGCGTATTAACAAGCTGCTGAAATGATAATGGAAATAATATTTATTCAAATAAATTTAATATAACCACTTTTGAATAGTCATATTATTTTTTTTATTCTACCACTCATTCAGATAGGTGAGACAGATATCATGTCGATAAAATTTACTTTGAAAGTTTATATGTCTATAATCACCCCTAGGAGACATTGATTATAACACGCAGTTGATACAAATATTTTTTTAAAAAG